CCCTTGGAGCCGGTCCCCGCGTTCGGGTTCACGAGCTCTTGGCGTACTCAACTCTTGGAGAGGTCGCCGAGTCTCCACTCACCTCTTGACATGATGTGAAATACTTGAAGCGAGTGGGCCCTGGTGTCAATCTAGCTAGTGTGCAGACAGGTGGTGAGGAAGGATGATAGTTCTCCGCTCGCTGACCATCGCTGTCAAGGCAGCATTACCTCAAGGATTTGAGCATTGATCATCCGGTATCTCCTCATCGTACTTGAGGCAATTGCGTTCTTAATGTTGAAGTCGAGTGTTACTTGATGAGAGCCTGGGGGCTGATGTGGAGTCTCTGAATGGACTGGGCTATCAGCTCAGGTCGAAAGCTGGTGTTGTCTGTTGACGATTCGAGGAAGCGGTAGGCCGACTAGGCGTCAAAAGTGGACTTCAAGGACGTGTGCGGTTGCGTTGTATGCTCGATGAATTGACTATCAATAGATGCTGGGTGTTATGGCATACAGGAGTGATATGAGACCGCACTGATGGGTGGATCTTGCCCGTCGCCTATGGAGGCACCCCCGGCAATTGGAAATTGCCTCGCCGACCCCCATAAAGGGGGTCTCTGGGGGACCCCGCCCCTGGCTCGAGGGCGCTCCGGAAATGAACTGAACATGGGCATGACTGTTGGGCATCCTCCTGAGCGAGATAATTCCTATAACAGTGGCATAAGGCAAGACAATTGGCAATTGTGCTTGCGTGGCGCTGACATACCTTGCCCGTCGTGAAAGGCCGTGCATTGCGACGATCAGACGAAGCATCACATCTGTCAAGCTCAAGCCCAAGCGCAGCGATGGAGGGTACTGCACAAAGCGGTGGTCGTATGATAGGTAAGGATGGGGTAAGTTGTCGACGCGACGCGTACATACCACGCGCAACCTCGGTTGCTTATTAGCAACAATGTGAAGCCACGAAAAGGCCTTATCACTCGTCCCCAGTCCAGCGAACAATTAGGCGGAGTCAAACACCATTTCAGATGCAACGTATCGTGATCAGCCCCTACCTATCAACAAATGAAGGTGCAGTGGGGACGCTTCACGAACACGTTAAGGCTGGATTGACGGCGTGCTGACAGGAACCTCTTCTGAGGACTCAGCACACGATAAGTTCATTCCAGCGTCGGAAGCTCTTCTGCATCAGCCTGTCACTACAAAAAAAAAACAATATCTGAAGTCGCGGCATCCTTCGATCGCATAACCTCATTCGACGTAATGATAGTACCACGTCAAACCGAGAGAACCACAGGGATATGAGGCCTTTGAAATCCTTTCCTAGTGGAGATATTATTTACCTTGGCCTTTTTCCATTAGCGAGTGATTTAGGGAAGAGATTTGACTCACAGGATACGTATTGTCCGTTGGCATTATGTGCGATTGACTGCTGTTCTGGTCTGCTCGCCGGAGCCATTGCGGAAGACCAAACGGAAAAGGCAGAATCACATTAGAAAAGCGCTTTTCAATGTCAGTGACCTCGAGGAGGCCATCCGCCTACAGTCGACATAGAACGCAAGGATTTGGATCTGATTCCAGTTAGCATTAGCAATTTGCTATCCGCAATCGAAGCCGAAGGGGGAGCCATGTAGACTTCTTCATACGAATGACCATTGACCATTGCAGCGATGTCTTGCCACTCTGTGGTGGTTCTACACACCTCGCCGGCATGGCAAATTTGAGCCTTCTCCATGTCGACACTGCATTTGGCGGAGGTTGACACCGTGGTTGGATCAAAAGTTATTTCGACTCGGCTTGTAGTGGTTCTTTTCAAAGTGGTCTGAGCAATGGCCGCTTGTGCTTCGGTATTGGTCTCACTAAGAGACTCGCCAGCAGCTTACTCCAGGCGGGCTGAGAAGACAACTTGGGCCTTGCTTGTCATTTACGTTAGGGAAGGTGTTCTCTCGGCATTTGGTATCAGCCTGAATGCAGTTTCCAAATCATTCCGCTAGTCTTTGGTGGCTTAAAAAGAACTATGCTGATCACCCGCAGTACCCACGGTATCAACCTCATTCCATATAGCAGCAAGTGGTAAAAATCTTACCCTGTGAAGCCTCTATCTTGTATCAAGGCTTTCAAAAAGGTCATTCAAGGTCAGCTAGGACGAAAATATGGTGGCCATGGATCCTAGCTCGCACCTGGCCCATGGAGTCTAGAAGGTTTATCGTAAAGGGTTTTTGCTTATTCAATCGAATGGCAAGATGTGCGCATTCTTGAAATCGAATAAGTCTAACGTTTTTTATGTGCGTCAGTACCATGGAAGAACTAGGTAATTTAAGGGAAAGACTTACCACGACGTTTCAGATGGAGGGTCAGTCGGATTGCGGTGTGGTTCGCAGTGTACTTGGCCAGAAGCTCGGGAATGGGTCAGATATTTATAGACTTCCAACTTGTGACATCGCACATATGTCTTCTGACTTCCAGTGACAAATGTGCTTGGATCGTTGATATTGCGTGTGCGGAAACCGTTGAAGGCTCGGGTAAGGCGAGTGGTAAAATCCCTGCGCCTCACATTTTTGGGCTTCGTAAAGGTGACAATCAGCGTCTGAAAGAAGTGTCTAGGTGATAGTTTCACCGTTAATTGCACAATTGTTGAACGTTCAACTCATGCCCAGTATTTACATGCGGCATCGCCGTTGATCAAGAGTCGGGTTCAACCATTTATTCACAGCTCTTCATCAGATAATGGAAAGTGGCATTCCTGAGCCATCAGTGCATATTCATGTCTGAGCGTCCGAGTGTCCATGCAACATCAATGTCATCAAACTAACTGCGAAGATGCTACGTACCTGAAGAGCAGCACCGATACCCCGCAGATTAATTTACCGGGGCCCAAGATCTAAGTCCATTGTTACAACAAACAAATTCCTACTCTGTAATTTTTTACAATCCACTGACTCGTAAATCCTAGCACCATATTGGAAGACTGTTTGTTGAGATTTTCACTAATTCTAACTTGAGGTTAAAAAAAAGCGTTGATCTTGAATGCCGTGGCCGTCAACTGCTTGGTGAACCTGAGTGTGTCGATACGTTGATCGGACTTTGAAAAAAAAAAAAAAAAAAAATTTTTTTTTCCCATTTTCCTGATTGCTGTCGGACATCACATAAGTATCATATAAGTGCTGCATCTTTTGCTGCATTCTTTGCTGTGTCAAATCGCGTCAAGGATTAGGGTAGCCCAGCTCAAGGCCGTCAAGCGTTTCTGTACCACCCCAATATCGACGAGATAGATGAAACAGCCCAATATAGTACGTGCCAATTAAATCCTACGACCCGACCGCGCTCACGAAACAATAGATGTTGACTTCGATATTAATCTCCACGTACTGTAGCGCGACTTCTCTGATATTCCGACACCACCTCCCTGTCTCGCCACCGATTATGGTGATTCCGAGCCGGAGATGTCGAACATAGGCGGAGTCATGGGCCCCGGATATCAGCCCCAAGAGAGCCCCGCCATTGAATGTCTGTTTTGTCCCAACTTTGAGAGCCAGACAGGCTTCAAATGGACTGGTCCGGACCTAATGGCCGTTTCCACCTAAGCCCACGACGTCTTCTTTTACATGTCATATTTCTTCTTCAATGAGACGATAAGCTGGAAAGAATGCAGGCTTGCCCGGGTGGATTGTTCGAGCGGGAATACGGTCGCAGAGCATCTATTCTTCCTGCCAAGGGTCGAAAGAATCAGGGGGAACTTGCCCCGAATCTGCGGCCAGATGCTCGACATTATCGATTGTTCTCCCATCAGGGAGGCATCCAGCTTCCGGCTGTCCCTGTTTCCACGCATGGATCCTATGCCGTATTCTGATCAGTCGATGTTCGGCTCGCCTACCACACTACCCACCACGCCATGTCTGGACCCTTCTTTCTTTGTACATAATCTTCAAGGGAATTATCATTGACTAGGATATATGAGCTTGTTCTTGATGGCGTTTGCTATGTTGGAATTAATGAGTCTCACAGGTATTTCTACATCGCGCATTGTGTTTGCACTGCTCGCGGACCGATGACAAATTCAGAGGGAGATTACCGTCTGCCATAGCTTCTCTATATCTTTTGCTCAGATCCATATGATTCCACAGACGACATAAAATCTTATAATCGGTGGGGATAATTATATGATGGTAAGTGTAGGGCTGAAGTGCCTGTGAGTGAGACTCTTCTAGTCGAGGTGATTGTGATAGAGGACAAATCAAAGAGCATTTTTGGCACGGAGAATGCAAATCTTATGTACCGGTATTTCTTAAATGCTGAGTTCCTTTTGGGTACCAGGCGTTATGTTCATCTAAAGCTGTGAATCAAGTCAAATGGGCGATTGTCTGGGTGAATCGACTATGGACATTAGCAGTAGGTTGCTTAGGATAGTGCACGAACTATCACCATATCATATGTATGCGGGAGTTGAACAAAAAAGTCAATCAGCTGATGAGTTGATGAACTCTAGAGCATTACCCTTGTTGTCTATTCATGCTCGCTATAGCCGGCTTCGTGGTGCATGCCTACTTAAAGCTCTGGAAATCGTTTCGCTGAAAAAACATGAAGGCCCATACCAATGTCAATTTTGAAACGACTGATGATGAGGCACAGAGACTAATCAGAGGAGGCGAGATATAAAAACCACGGGTTTCACTTCCAGCATTCTCATGAGGTGATCTTATGAGGTGGAATGAGTAGAGCAATCGACCTTTGCTGAGTTGCCTTCCAATTTACAATTGCATCTTTTCACGCAGGAATAGCGAGGTCTTCTCATTTAAAGATCGGGAGTTATGATCATGAAAATTCGTAATCTCTCCGCACGTTACTTTATGTATTGAAACTACGGGTGCAACTCATGAGTGAAGCTCTTGCTGCAGGCTCCGTGTTGGCTCCAATCAAGAACAGATTTGTCTATCATTGCAACAAGCAAATCTAACATATATTGTGATACAGACTCGACCAGGCTGTTAGGGAGAGCTGTCTGAGCCGCCCCATCATTGGTTCTCAAGTCCTCAGATGATTCAAAGTTAAATTTACTGCCATGTCTCTTAGATCTCTGTCACTTGGCGTAGTCGAATGGAAAATCTCTTTTATTGCATCCTGGAACGTGCTAGAATCTAGCCATCGAAGGGCTTACCGCTTGGCGTTTTCCTTTGCTAATGTTTTCAAACCTTCAGCAAACATTCTGTCTGCCAGAGGATATATCAAGATATGAAACGATAGAGGATCAGATGCAGTCTCTGATGCCTCAGCAGTCTCAATAGACTCTAAATTGCCGTAAATTTCTCCATTAACTTTACTAGAAGCATCTAGGCTGAAGGCCAGAGGCCGGGTGCTTTCAGTAACATTGACTATTGACGCCTCCTCGACAAAGTCGTGACCGGTTCTGGGAACGAGGTTTTATACTTAATAATTCAATGAATAGAAATAACCTACTAATCCTGCAACTAGCAATGGTTCTTCTTGAAGAGTGACCGTGTCGGTAGATGGCTCCTAAGCGAGATCAATTGGCTGAGCACTTCCATATTATTACCAATCAGAATCCTTCTCTCACTTGGAGCCCGCTGCTGAACGCTTTCGCGAAGAATGCTGATCGCGGGCAAACGATACATTCATGTAACGCGTATGATTCATCACCGCACACTATTGTCATATCGCTGTATTTCGAGTCGCGACGCAGGCTGCAGTACCGTCAGAATCGGATGAATCAGTAGGAAAGCTGATGGATACCTTGATAGAGCAACTAAAAGCTCTTGGTGAGGGCTTTTATCCTGTGTGACTCTCTGCTGCAACGAAATCGCGGCTTCTGGAATATGCGATGACTTCCCAACCATCTCTGAGCCACCTTCCTTTTTGTTGAAGGGCATGATCAAGATATGTCGAGAAATTTGGATCTGGGTTGGCATTTCTTAGGGCCAGGTCAAGAAAGGGGAAAAAGACAGTGGCACGAACAATTCCACCCACGATGCGAAGAATGATAAACCGCGGACAAACGGCTAGCCAAGTTCAACGTCGAATCACATCCAACCCGCTGATTGATGTATTATCATAGGCTACTCATCACTTTTCAAACCACTATACATAAGCAAGGCGCGGTATATTTTTTTCTAATGTCTCATACTCTGTAAACCATCTTATTGGACTACAGAACCTTTGGAAATAATCAAACGGGCCGTTGAACGAAATGGATGCTTGATTGAGACGCAGAGAGTTTTGAAAGAAGATCACCCCAACCAACTCTTCTCGTGGGTGCCACATTCGATTATCCTAAGCCGAATACGGCTTGAATGTATCACCTTGAAACTTAGTGTAGCAGGGATTGGCTGTATCAGATCTTTTCAGTTTGGCTGTCGAGACCTAGCCCAGTGCTGGGGAAAGAAAGCTCTTCGTGTCTGGGGGAAGCATGGAGGTAATCTATTTTCGAAAGCCACTGTAAATCCACTATACAGAAAAGCCGGCGGGCCCCAGCCAGCCCCAGCATCATGGATTTTATTTTTCCCTAATCAGTTCCATACGCGACCCCTTTAAGCCTAAGCTCATTCACCTTGTCCGCATGGATTTTTTTTACATTCCCATAGACAATTTCCTGACCGAAGAGGGAGGCGACTCAGTGATAGAGATGCCTGTCATCTCAAGCCAGACATCCCTTGTTTCGTTGGACAGCTTTGGTGTCGACAGCTCAATGGTATAACTCGCTGTCTGTACCCCAATTTGGTGATCCCCCGAACTTCAAGTCAAACCTTGTAAACTTTTCTCTTGACTTCTCGAAGTTGGTCAAAAGATTGCGCATACTCGAGAAGACTCTCCCAATATTCTCTCGGCATAGCAAAGTGAAGCTGGGGCTTTTGAGCGGCTGGCTCTGGAGCATGATAGAAAAGGTTCGGGACATGGTGGTAACACCGGTGACTTGTTAGAGGAAATTTTCGCAGGATCTATCTGCATGGTATCGTTCAGTAGCACGTTCGGCAATGCTGGCATAGTGGCTCAACAAGACTGAGACATGCTGTATCGATAGACAATTGAGAAATCTGTTTTGGGTACGTAGAGTAGAGAAAGATGAGTTGTGTTTGAAATAATTTTTCTTTCAGACGACGTCCATTGAGCGCGTCATACCCTCGGTTTTCCCGGATTAAAGATAGGCTGGGATTCTGAACGGATTGCGTCATCAATGCCGTACACTCAGGTGGGGAAGGAACATAATAGAAATTCAAGCCGCTCACATATATCGTATTATTTTCGAATATTTTGCAATACATTCAGCTATGTGTTTACTTAACAGTGAAAGCACAGGTGAACCATCAGGGCATACCATGGCACGCTCTCCGAGTACGAATAAATCCCACGCCTGACCCATTTGTACTACGACATTCTATTAGATACATCTATTGTATTTTAAAAGATTGATTGTTATTCTTTCAGAGGGAATACATGAAAATATATATACAACGAGAAGTTCAAGTTGATGATGTATTCCGCGTGAGTCGTAGACGTGGCTACTCCCCCCTGTCTCTTTGATGACCAGGAACTGGCGCACCTGCAAGTTGGAATACATAGCCAGACGTCGAGTATGCACCGTAAGTGACGACAGAGCCACAAATTCGGCGTCCGTATACCCGATCAGCTGCCCACTGCGGTAATTAATGCGACGAGATTGCGTAGCTTTGATGTAGCGAAGCAATCGCTGCAGAGCGATTTGGTGGTGCGATTGCGGCTGAGACGTGAAGCGACTCAACAGAAATCACATTCCGAGCTATCAGCTGGCCTGATAGAACTTCCGCTTAGCAGCATATATATAGAGCGAGCTATATCAGGCAAATGAATACATCATCATCATCACCATATCAGAAATAGGGGCTAGTGTCAACATTCATCAAAGCATCAACACTGGTGTCGTGGTCTTTTGCTTCTGAATGCCGCTATCGCAGACAAAGTGCTATCAAGACATCTTGGAAATTTCGACGAATCATGGTAGTTATGTCTTTCAGTTCAGCATCACCTGCCACCCAGTAACCAGAATTGCGATCCATACGGTTAAGCTCCGCAAATAAATAGGTATCATAAACTTCTAGCACCTCATTAAGCCTCCGTGGAGTATTGAAGCTTTCTCCATGAGTTCTTGACAGGTGCTCAATTTTTCCAGATTTGACTAGGTCCACAACGTGATGGATGCGAAACGCAAGAAGACGCCGCGCGAAAGCATCAAGTAAGCAACTATAATGAGATTTGCTTAGTTATCGTACGTTTCAAATTATTTCAAGCGGACTCACTCGCTCAGTTGTGTTTGTGGACTTCCTGGGAATTCAATGGGATCCAATGGAGGTATTTTTGGTTCGCAATCCAAAAGTTGGCTGCAGGCTCGCTGGCATCGATTCAACATTTGTCTCTCATCAGTGCTCAAAGATGGATTTGAAAGCGCGATCTTCGCATCGGAGACTATCTTATGCTGTAGGGTTCGGAAATCATTGATAACCTCAACTATTCTCAGAGCACGCACGGAATCTTGAACTTCGTATGAGAATGACCCAGGCCGATGCTCAGAGGCTTCGAAATTCGGTTCTGATCATTCATGCTAAGAGTTATTTTTATAATTCTAGTGACTTCTTATAATTGCTGAGTGATGATGGCAAGAAGCCGAAGAGGATTTTACCGGAAGGAGGGCCACTTCACGTACCTGCATTTAGAATATAGTTGATCTTCATCCGATCGCAAATTTTATGTACGAAAAGAATTTCTATCTTTACTTCCGTGCAATCAATGGTTTTGGTTGCCCATGATTAATTTTAGCCACTGATTAATCATAAGTTCAGGCAAAAAATCCTCAAGAAAATTGAGCCTTCGGTAAAAAAGGGCTTGAATATGCACAATACCGTATAATTGACGTGTAGATGGAATTCGATCTTTGATCGATCTGTTTGGGAGACTGCAATTTGTCCCATCGAAGAAGCGCTACAACCGATCAGCAGGGGCTGGGCCAATGATACACCGTAAAATGGGCCCTGCTGATAATCTTTTTACATTGTTAACGTCAATTCAGTGTGCATATTGTAAAGTAGGACACAAGATTAGATTCCAAATTGCGCGAGGATCGGCTTGGGCAGGTAACCGTGAGACTTTTCATCTCCATCACTTGCAATATTGACGGATCATGTGTGTCTAACGATGCCACCAATTTTTGGGTTGTGGAAAGGGCAATTTACTAGAATACGGACGTGAAATGTTAGTGACTTGCGCTTTCGCGGTTCTCGCTAGTGATTTCGAACTGCAAGTTCATACATAAGTTGCTGCTTTTTCGGCTGTATACTGTCGCAGGTGACCAAGACATCTTCATATGCAATTTGTTTTTCTTTCATGAGCTCACCGTGTCCCTGGAAACCCCAAGAGAGCTTTATGTCGAACTGAGGGGTGGTATTTTACCATTAAGGACAGGGTTATTCATCAAGTACCCATTTGTCGGGAAAGTGGAGGTCTATTTTACTAGCGTCCATGCATTTTATTCAATACCGCATCATTTTTCATTCCTTAGGCATCGACTGCTCAATCAGCACATTCAACCCCCTTATTTTACACATCATCTTGTATTTAGAAGAACACATCTCAAGTACGGTTCAAGGAATTCATTGGTCCATCTCCGTACTAGTGCGCACTGCTTTCCTCGGAATCGACAAAAACATATGGAGGAGTCGGCAGTCGCTGATTCAGCCAATTCCTAGCGGTAAAATACCACCTCTCAGCTTGACAAGGTCAGATGGGTCAAAAATAAGGATCTGTATCTTACATGCCCGCACGCGGGTGGTGAACTGACCTGAAAAGGAAGTACGTTGCATGAGCATCGAATAAGCGTAGTTTTAAGTCTGATTCGCCCATTGTCTGTTATGAACGTCAGTAGAATGAAAAGCACGTAACTGGAGGGGAAGACTTATAACGACGCGTGGGAGACTTGCCAGGTAGTAGCAGTGGGCTTTGCCGAGGGATTGCTGTATTGAAGCGCGGGGATTGCAGAGATATTTATAGACTTTCCAGCTGACTGAATGGCTCACATCCTTTCTTCGTCTGCGGTAGCAAATGTGCGGAGGTCGTTGAGATCGTGGGGGCGAAATTTGTAGAAGGCTGTGGTAAGGTGAGTGGTCCAATTTCACCATCTCGTATTTTGGCCGCTGTCTAGAAGAGAATGCTGGGCTCGAAATCAACATGGTTATCGCGACTTCAACACTGATTGCCTATTCGTTAAATCATCAACTCATGCCCAGTGTTGAAATGCGACATCACCGTTGATCACTTTCCCCTATGTCAATGGCTTAACGTTGACTCAACGGACCACGTAGGGATTGCCAACTATTTCAGTCCCATGCTTGGGTGGTTTTACGTTGTTAGGTTGACCTTCAGTACCTCACTTTCCGCTATTCTGGATTGTAGGTTGAGTCCCAGTGCCAATCGTGGGCTAGAAATGGGAGCAGTGTGGATTAATATGGTTAAGAGTAGCGAAAACGATCACAGGTCGCCGGCCCACGGGTACCCCAAATAAAGTTTGACGTGGCTAACGTATTCGGTAAGCGAGTGACGCATGTAAGCGAGTGACGCACCCCGCCCAAAACGCGTCTATGAATTAGCACTTAATTAATTCAACCACCCATTATGCCACCAATTCGCCTCCAAACCTCGAGAAACTCAATCGAGCAAGAGGGTAGGATCTTATTAGCTATTCAGGCTATAAAGAACCAAGAAATCAGCGCTGTTCGTGAAGCAGCACGTCGTTTTAATGTGTCGGAGCCGACACTTCGCCGCCGCCTCCGCGGTGTTCAAACCCGCGCGAATTCACGCGCCAACTCACATAAATTGACAGAAATCGAAGAGGAAACGCTTCGAAAATGGATCCTATCGCTTGATGATCGTGGAGCAGCGCCCCGGCCGACTACCGTACGAGAAACTGCGAATATTCTTCTTAAGGCTCGCGGAACAACCCCTATTCAAACAGTCGGGGAAAAATGGGTTTATAACTTCGTGAAAAGGCATCCTGAACTATCAAACCGGTTCTCGAGACGCTATAATTATGAACGTGCGAAGTGCGAAGACCCAAAAATTATTGGTGAATGGTTTAATCTTGTTCAAAAAACTATACTTCAATACGGCGTCGATCCCAACGACGTTTATAACTTCGACGAGACTGGTTTCGCGATGGGATTAACAGCGACTGCGAAAGTCGTTACAAGGGCTGAATACTACGGTCGGCGATCGCTTTTACAACCCGGAAATCGTGAGTGGGTGACCGCAATTGAATGTACAAATGCTTCAGGTTGGGTCTTGCCTCCGTGTGTGATTTTTAAAGGTAAGGTTTTTATCGAATCTTGGTTCGATAACCTTCCGGATAATTGGCGATTCGAAGTAAGCCCAAACGGCTGGACTTCCGATGAAATCGGTCTTCGTTGGCTTGAAAAGCTCTTTATTCCGTCGACTTCTTCGCGGTTAAAAGGTCGGTATCGACTTTTGATACTCGACGGCCACGGAAGCCATTTAACCCCGAGGTTTGACGAAATTTGTGAAAAAAAATGATATTATACCAATTTGTATGCCCGCACATTCGTCACATCTTTTACAGCCTCTCGATATCGGCTGTTTTGCGGTGTTAAAGCGCTCGTACAGTCGGCTTATCGAAATAAAGATGCGCCTCAGGATTAACCATATCGATAAACTTGATTTCCTTGAGGTATATCCGTACGCCCGAATCGAGGCTTTTAAACCTGAGACTATTAAAAATAGCTTCGGGGCAGCCGGTCTAATACCCTTTTCACCCGATCGAGTACTCTCAAAGCTTAATATTTGTCTTCGAACCCCGACACCCCCGGCGAGCCGGGGTAGCGAATCAAGCCGAAATTTTACACCAAAAACTCCCTATACAGAGAAAGAACTACGTCGACAGGCTTCATCGATTAAAGCTTTACTTCGTACACAGTCTTATAGTCCGCCTAGCCCGTCAGATCGTGCATTAAACCAGCTTGTGAAAGGCTTCCAACTCCAGATACAAAGTCATATTCTACAAGCGCAAGAAATCAAAGAATTACGCGCCGCCAATGAGAAGCAGAAGCAAAAGCGGACTCGGTCGACTAGGCAGATAGCTCACGAAGGCGATATCTCAGTTCAAGAAGTTCGTGAGCTACGTGCGGAGCCATTTGAGGCCCAAGTAGCCCGTATCAATACCTATCGTGAGCAGGTTTCAGAGGGTTTACAGCCACCTACGCGGGGCCAGCGAGGATGTGGAATATGTAGGAAGCCAGGACATAGAAGAGAAACATGCCCAGATAGAGAACATAGCTAGTTAAATTAATTTAATGGCGTTTTGGTTAAGAAAAATGCATTTAAAATAGATATTGTATGGTAGGTGCGTCACTCGCTTACATGCGTCACTCGCTTACCGAACACGTTATAAACCTTGCCAGAGCCTGAATTGACTAGGATTAATCATTACTCCTGTCTTACTTGAGATACAGTCAACATATATATATATACAATATCAAGGTAATTTCAGGGATATTGAATATTTCTCGGGCATCTCATGGCTTTTGGAAGACGTCTCCCGAAGTATTCATGCAAATATGTTTTCACTACAGATCCTATCGAGAAGGACTATGCGTCTCTTAACATGATAAAAAAATGATTAGAGCTTATGTAAGAATGTCTTGTGAAATATTGACTCTACACCCGTGTCAACATCATTGCATTGCAATTTGGGTGTTATGATTGGTGTTTGTTGACGTTTGAGAAAGAGATAACAGTGGCAGAACAAATTCACCACGATGAGGAGATTGACAACGGTTGGGATCCGCCCAACCGCCAAACTCCCTAGCCAACTTTACCCCTGGTCACTCACCACATCACGCCGTCACCAGTTTAAACTGCACCCCCTTCAACTCTCATCAACACATTGCCCCAGGAAATGATTAGTTCAGTGGGAGAATTATTTTCACATACCAGCATTGGAATCGTCATCGTAAATTCCTATTTACAATCGCTGAAGTTCACAATGGGCTTTGCCTTGCAGAATAGAAGGCAGAGAGCACTTTCTACACTGTATCTCAAAATAATACAGGATGGAGAGAAGCAAAGGGTAGCCCCCTTTTGGCATCAGTTTTCTCATCCAACTTCATTCAAATGCATCTTCTTACTGAAGAGTTCTAAAGCCTGCCCACCTGACACTTCCCGCTCGTTCCCTAACCCTACTATGAAAGAGATCTAGTATATATGTGGTTAGAAAGTGAGCTATATGGTATTGTAAGTTTCCCTATGTTGTCACAGTATAGTAGCTTTCCCAGATAGCCGTCAATTAGCCGCAAATCACCTGAACAATTCATGAGTAAAAAATCTTGGAGTATAGTGTTCCCAGCTAAACAGCAGTAGCATAGGGGAATGAAAACACTACTGTCGACGTCACCATTGAAGCGCATCTGTAATATGAGAGCAAGGGGGGCTTCCATATCTAAGACCGCTCAAGCTGCTCATTGTAGCAAGCAGGCTGTTAAATACATTCATTATAATTTGCGAATATATGGGATACCTCGAGCACCGCCAAACCTAGTCAGGGGAAATGTATGACCACGCCGTGCATTTTGAAAGCCCTATGTAATCATTTAATTGAAAACCCAAGTCTTTATCTTGAAAGGATAGCTGTGTTTTTTGCAGATGATTTGAACCGGTAACACAGAGTGCTATTAGCAGAACGGTCTATTCAATTGGCTGGTCTTAAAAAACGAGTAAAAAAAAAGTAAGGGAGGAGAAATCTAACCTTAAAGACGAATACATTCATGATATTTCCAAATTCCGATCGAAGCGATTAGTCTACGTCGATTGATCTGAGTGTGATAAGCGGATAGGGTTTAGACGGAACTTTCAAAGACAGGTTGCTAAAGATGCACAAGAAGACAAAGAACTAAAAGAACGTGTCATTGATATGTTCAGTCGCGAGGTACGGAGCCTTCTCTCAGCGATATTGCATTGCGCCGAAGATATAATGAAAGTAGCGCGGAAAGAAGAGGTTACCTAAGGGTGTTTCTCGCGTATTCAAGAATCTGCGGAGACCATCAGCTTTTTTATTTTCCACCAGAAAAAGGTTCTTGATCATGTTCCTACGTCCCCGAAAATCGACGCGTTGATGATGAATCTGTCTCCCCGAAGAGTTCAACCAAAATCATACTTTAAGAACCCGATTCTCTCTTTCAGTCCCAACTACAAAGGAACGATTCTCAATTTGATGATCAAAGTGACTGTTCCTATTCGGGCCGTGGAATTGAATGGGTGATAATCGATCTCGATCGGATGGACTAGCAGTCTGGTGAAAATGGAGACTCGTGTCGCACTGTGCATTACAAGTCGTGAGATTCCGTCTATGTCGACCAGAGACAAGTGAGAACGGAACGGCCCAAAAAGCCAATATCTTTAATGAGATCCGAATGAGAATGGTTGGAACATCACCAGAAGAAAAGGTAAATCTGCGGAATTGTCGGTCGGGCGCTTCCATTTCTTTCGAAGGTGCTGATCTGTTGAGTCAGCATGAAGTAACAAGGCTCGGGGTCTGCTTTGGGCGCGCTCTCACACTCTCATCCGAAAGCAACGCGGTATTTACCGTGGGGGTACATCTTCGCCAAGCGTAAAAGCAGACCAATGATATGCTGTAGACTGAAAACGAGCTCGTTTGCTATTTATATGGGGCGATTAATATAATGCACCGTGCTCTTGGGAAATACCGCTGAGCCTGTAGCTTTGATGAACACGTCGCAGCGCATTGAAATAGCGATTGGCAGAACTGTTGCGTGCATTTCAACCTAAAGCTATTGCTGGACTACCACAAGTTCTATTATTATAAAGCTGAATGTCCGGAACAACAGTACAGGGTAGAGGTGATTTGCCCAAGGCGATGCGAGCAAAGGCTGAACTGAACACAAATGCAGAGACTCACCTCACCGAGGCACAGGTCATAAACCACTGAGATCATAAGAATAAAGAAGTTTAGGTGGCCAATTCCGCATTAGCCTAAGCTAGTGATGGTACCGGGAATGTAACGTAGGAGTATTCAGTCTGTTAAATTGACAGCTGCATCTGATATGGGACTCTAGACTTCCACTTCATTGCTCCAGTCCAGTATCCCATGATATATAATGTTGTCGTAGATGCTGCGGAATATTCATCAAACTATCCGGTAATGGAGGATGGCATGAAGAAAAAGAATAGGGGTCGGCGGACGCGGAATATATTTGTAAGACGTCATCCTCAATACAGAAGTGTTTTCGTTTAAGGTCTCGAGATGATACAGATGGCGACTCTTGGATGAGAAGCGGTTGGAAGGAGCCATTCAAAGTTTGATACTGGTAGACGGATGTATCCAACATCCTCTGACCAACTCCAATGGATGTCGGCATGGCTTGTGTTGACGCTTCGTCTACTTGCTGGCTGCTCCGAAGCCCATCACTGCGGGAGTCACTGAGTCGACAGACAGATTGAAGGTCTTGAGGTAGGTTCGCTCTTGATATAGGAAACCTGGCACTCCCGTCTGTGACTAGTTAGCTCAGAGCCTGTAGACACTTATATGTGGAGCCTACCAGTCACTGCATCCAAGAATTTTTCCTCCTCCTCTCTGACCCAGTAAAGTTCATCCAATAGCTGCAATCGCTCATTCGGAGTAATTTGATGTTGAACAAGCCGCTCTGCGTTTTTCAATTTTCGCGCGGTGATTCCATGGCTGATACGTAATTCGCAAAGAATATGGATGAGGAGCGCAAAGCGTTCTGTCTGAAATTAGCGCGATTAACGAGATCGATAATCGAAAAAATTGACTTACCAGATTTAGGAAGATGGTCAGGTTCCCGATGAGTCACACCAAGTGGCCACCATGGCGGCTTAGTCTCTTCGGGATTGAACTGCTGCATTTTGCCCTCCACGGACTTCCTTCCATTATAGGGATATTGAGCTTGCCTACGTGGCTCGGCAAGCCTTATGTAAATTTTGGAAATCACCCTACAATTCGCCTGCTGCAAATTCTGAAAGACCTTTTCATAGTATCGGCGAAGAAGATCTCTCTGATTGACGGGGAGTTGGGCCGTGACGTGGATTTGGGCTGGGGTAGGGGAGATGGCCGTTCCGGCATTCCAGCCTTGCTCCTCCGTTCTTGCGCGCCTTATTTCTCGTTGAATTGCCCTTTTCTCTGGTGTCCTGGGTACGTTAGACGCTAGCGATGCTGTAAATGGCTCGAGCTGGCTGTCGGGCGGTTCTGGAAAGCTGTTTGTCCTTGGTTCTGCCACCGCCTTCAGGAACGCTTCGGTAACTTGTGGGGATAGAATAGACTGGGCACTATCGAAGATGGAAGCAGATACCTCGTGGCGAAGGTTTCCCTTTCGATCAATATAGATGAGGGCAAAATGCTCCCGGAAATTTGGACATTGTTGTGGTTGGTGCGACATGCTTTTAGTTTCCCTTTAGCCATAAGTCTCTCGGGACGGTGGGGTAGACTGTACCTTGTGACGGCAAGATAGATTGATCGCTGAGAAATAGCATGGCTTTAAAAGCTTTTCAATGATACTACCTGCATGACAAACAGCTCCAGGTTCAGCAATATCAAAGTAGATGCACGCTGCAGTCCATAATCTTGTGATCGATCTATTTGGGCTCGAGGCCCGAGCGGCTGGGCTATTGAAAATGAGAAACACCGACCTCGAGCAGGAATGCACCGACGCACAATTGATATACTCAACAGACTGACACCGGTCGAAAATTGTCACCTGCAGGCTGCAATTACTTTTACCATAACCCGAGGAGAAACTTTGAGATGATTCGCCTGTTGATGTAAGCTTAACTTTAGTTAAACAAAGCACGTTTAACGAATAGCTAGTAACGCAATAAACAATTACGTAGACCGGTGTGAAGCAAGGGTCCCACCTCATAATTAAATACCAATCAGTGGACAATATAGCGCAGATCACTTCCCTAACATAGATTTCTGCCGACCAAAACAACAAATCATGAATTTGTCAACTGCACTTCCCACGGCTCGAGTCAAGTGTATTCTTTTGCCGATCTCACGCTAACCCTTATCAGTGAGGTCTTCGGTTCGCCTAGTGGCGGAAAATTAAATTACAAGCAAATGTCTTGTAAGTGTATGAGCGCTACGCAAGACGAAACCAGTCATGCTTTCTCACGCGTTGCCCTGTTCATATTATCGGTAAGCCCCACTACATCCCCATTTTTTGAGTATACATTCTTGTATTTCCTGTCAGACCAACGGTAACCCTTGAGTTTCGCGTCTCACTTGACTTCATTGATAATTATGAAATTGCGTACATTGTCACTAAGCGAAACGGGGAGTACTTATATTGTGCAAGATTGAAACAAAGACCTGAGTTGATGCCGCCATTTGCTTCAATTTCAGGGGTTCTCAATTTTGGAAACCGGGTAACTCTTGGATTCGGTAATATATCGGAGCCGAAGGAGCTTAATTTAACTTTATACCCCACATTTTTTCGTATTTGGAATCAACATTATAGAGAATTCCAGATACGCTGGAGCGGTTCTCATTGGAGAACAGACCGAGTCATGTACCCCAGAACTATTGGGTCGATATCGGGTTTTGAGAATCACGTACAGGAAATGATACGGAACTTACACTGGACATGACTCGTTTCTTGCAGGAGATACCGAGTCGGATATATATAAGCTCTGAATACGCCAGCTTAGGACGAGGTAAGTCCTTTTGGAATTCGATATCTTCACTTTCTAATACTTATTATGAGTTCTTCCTCACCCGAACAGCAAGATCTTGGAAAAAGGAAGAGGGCTATTTATTCAGCTGAAATATGCCCGGACAAAAGTCCCCGTCGTGAAACATCGCAGCGACTTTCTCCAGTCAATGTAACATTCAAAATTCTTTGTCTTGGAACCTACGGGAACTGACTATTCGGGGAATAGAGGCAGGAGCAAGTTGGCCAGTCGACAGGATGTGTCAAAGCACATGTGCATATATCATTCAGTGAAATGGCACTAGAAATTCAGACCTTGAGAGCAGAGAGCCTCCAACTCAAGACCCAAGCCACTCATTTGTCAAGGCATTGCCAGACAATAGAAGCACACGTTACAGCTTTCCAGGCGGAGAATCAACGACTGGAAGAAATAAACACGCTGATGGAAAGGCTCCTTCGGCGAGAACGGGAGAAGAATGAGTATTTGCTCAATCGCTGTGCTGACCAAGAAGCTTTGCTGTCTTGTTTCCGCAAAGATTTTCCCGACCTCCAAACCGGCATATCGGACCTTTTGGGGATCTGGTCAGATATCGGATATACAAGAGCGAAGGAATGAATATCTGCCTTCAATAGTCTGCGGTTTAGTTCTACAGAAATTCTTCTGATCGTTGTGACAAATACGTTCTGATGGCATAACGCTCAATTAAGGTCTTAGATCCCGGATCTATGGATTTTCCCCCGGAGATGATGAAGAGACAAATAGCAAAACCTCAAGTCGATTCTGAAATTTGTAACAAAAAAAGTCCAAGTCCAGATGGGTCTTATCCCCGGAAATTCAGGATTGAGGGAATCATGGAGGCATGAAACTCGCTAATGTACTGTCAATAAGCTTATAGACTGCTTGCTTCATTGAAATAGACCGTTGAACGGATATCATTCATAGTATAGTTTTATTTGCCAGAAATCAGACCCGACGGTTGCTGAAATACCTAGATATTCTGCAAAAAACGCAAGGAGGCTCTTACAACTGGTTTGTGCGATACTCTGTCCGAACCCCACCGTTCCGGGATGGGTTCTCGGCCGAAACGGCAGTTTCTCGGGATCCGGAATCAGCTGCGAATGTTCAACCAATGAGCAGTGCTTACGTAAGCACCTCGCCATCCATAACTAACTATTCATGTTAATGACGATTTGTGACGGAATATATGGGACAGAGCACAGACTAAGTGAGTAGTTGGAACCTTTTCTGCGGTTACATCCGATCGGGAAGGGTCCTTAACTCACTGTCCATTTAAAAATTTTTATGACAGAATCACACTTCGCTGAACTTTCTGCAAAAAGTTACTACTAGGCATCATTAATGTTTTCCCGTCAAATTCTTGTAAATTGGCAAGATACCTTCTTATCATTTTCAACACGACGTCTCTATTCGAGAGCATATCTTAGCACTACAGCTTACCCTTTGGGCTCTTCTACCATGAACGAACCACGACTCAGGAGGGTGACGACTGAGCCTCTCGGGGAAAACTACAAATCAAGCGCTCATCAGGCAGCTCAGCAAGTGCTCTGGGTTGGATGCTCTGATAGCGATTCCAGGGAATCTAATGTTTTCAATCTTGGCGACGAGCCACTCGTCCTTAGAAATATCGGCAATATAATCATTGATGGCGATCTGTCCTCCGAGACTGCGATAAAACATGCCGTCGTTGACCGTCAGGTAGCTACTGGTGACAAAAAGATTCACAATTCGTTTGTATTAACGCTGTATAGGTGAAGCACATCGTTATTTGCGGCCATTATGGATGTGGCATTGTGAAAGCAGCCTCGAGAGATGGTTTAAAAGGCGCATGGCTGGGGTACGTGGGGTCATCTCTACCAAATCTATCCGCGGGGTCGCTAGTTAACCGTCATTATAGCAAGCTTAATTCCCTCTATGCTACGCATGAAGAAGATATCAATCAAACCCTCGTGATAGAACGCGACCGCGCTTTTGTCGAGTTGAACGTTCTTGATCAATTGCGTTCATTGCGCAAATTTACTGAAGTGACCGACGCAATTAAGAAGGGGCACTTGCAAATCCATGGGCTGGTATATTATACAAAGGCTGAGAAGGCCTACGGGGTGTTGGAAGGGCAACAAAGCTCTTAGTATATGACATAGAAGACTCAAAAGGCAATCCAAAAGCTTAGTTTCCCTTTAGTTGAGAACTGATGCTTATAATTTGGATACGCCTCGGTGTTAATGATTTTGGGGAGCTTAATGTAATGTGACTGGCAATTGACAACTGGGGCATTGATTATTAGCGATTTAGGTCCGACGGTAGACTGTAGATCTTCTTGACGTCCTCTAACATCCCCTCGAAATCGATCTTGAGATCTTTCAGTAGGCCGTCGCGTAGATCGAAAACCCATCCATGAACGATAGGATACTGATGATCTCGGTAGCTTTGCTGGACAGCAGCGGTCTTGATGATATTCCTGCAGGATTCTACCACATTGAGTTCGATCAATCGATTGTATCTAGAGCTTTCATCGGCTATTTCGTCAAGTTCATTCTCATGCAAGCGATACACGTCACGAATATTTCGGAGACACGGATTAAGTAACCCCAAGTCAGCTGGTGTCAATGCCGCTTTGACCCCTCCGCAATTGTAGTGGCCGCACACAATGATGTGTTTGACCTGCAAGTGTCGCACAGCATAGTTGATCACAGACATAACGTTAAGGTCGACATTGGGTACTAGGTTGGCGATATTGCGGTGAACGAAAACCTCGCCAGCCTCTAGACCCATAATTTCGTTGGCAGGGACACGGCTGTCACTACAGCCTATGTATCTGGGTACCGTCAGATGAATTCAATGGGGGTGAACATTTTGATGATGAGAATAAAAAACCTTGGCTTACAGGTAGTCAGGTGATTGCCCAGCAGCAAGTTTGTCAAAAAAGGCGGGATCTGCCCCCGTCTTCGACAGGACCCATTTCTTGTTATTTCTGAAGATGTGTTCAAGCGACTGTTGGCGAAATCGATTCATGTTGAGTTTTGAGACGCACCCGTTATGTTAGCAAAGTGAGTGAGTAGTTTGCTAGAAGCTGTCAGGAGAGCAGTGAAAATTGAGGGGCCGTGTCTATGTAAGCACGCCACGTCCCACTTCACCATCCACCCTTTCCGGCGGAAGAAAATATGGGGAATAGTAGCGGCGTGGTATAATAAAGGTTTCTACCGAACGGTAGGTACATGGGCTTTAGTGGAGATATTATTTTGGGCTGTTTTGAATTAGTCAAGGGATTCTTGGCCCTGTGGCTTTGTTCACGCTGTAGAAGGAAAGGTTGTTGAGGGGCGACGCTTAGGACTACCGCTGGATCGAAGGCCACACTGCGGGTACCCACCTCAGCACAGCTCATAGGCCAATGAAATCAATCGAGAACGGCTTGGCTTAGAGCCCGTCCGCAACCTCCTGTGGGCCTTCTGGCCATCTCAAGATTGGCCTGGTTCGAGAATGCTTAAACTAGGAGAGGGGGAGTACTAAGAGCCAGCTTTCATGACGTATAGCCTTCTATGCCGTCTGTGCTCTTCAGTAGGCTGTACTGTGACTAATTTCCTCTCAAGAGGATTCTCCCAAGAGCCAGACACTCTCAAAAGGCGGGTCCTGTTTCGGAGCTTCTAAGTGTCCTGTCAGGGATGTAGCTGCTTGGGTTTCACCACTAGACTGTCAGGCCAAAAAGGCACAATGTTTGGTCAGCGACCAAACACCCAAGCTACTATAACGTTATATAGTCAAAATGGGAAGATAAAATGTTTCTCAGATGAGCAGAGACGGCACCCAAGAGATTGCTCCCGGGCTCATAGCCTGTTGTGATTCAGAGAAAGGTTGATTGTTATTATTTCAGAGGGAACACATGAAGCTATATATACAACGAGAAGATCAAGTTGATTGGAAATCAACTTGATGCTACATATAGATATCTCGGGAATTAATTCCGATGGTGCGGCTCAATTCCTGATCTGCACCAGCCTCATATCACAACAAGCCGGCATCTCAAGCATGATCTCGAGAGCCTTGCTTTCACGCACAAGGGTAGAAGGCAGATTTATCACGTATTCTGCGAAGTATCCAGGTGGCTGCGGCTCTGTTCCAGCTTTGGCTACTGGAATTGTGATGGGAATGTGGACGGCTCGCACAGCGGGGCGTGATGGCGTACTTTTGGTCCTTGTTAGCTCTGATGGACTTCGAGTCAAATAAAGTGAGAAGCACATACAAGCTCTCATCGGAAGGAACGATTGGGCGACGAGGAGAGGTCGCAGGGGGTTTCCGGCTTGAAGAGAGGTCCGCAGTTGAGTCTGCCATATTGGATCAGATGAAAAGGAATGTGTGAAAAGTAGGGATGAGGTGCTGAGAAGAACAAGATGGGATGGGGACTGTGAAGAGGATGGGATTGAAAGGGAAGACGCGAAGATCAATTTTCTCATTTCACCAATCTGAATACGTTGGTAGCCTAGCATGCTTTTGTGGACTTGACTGTGTCAAGGTAAAGAAAATGCCTTTGCCTACTTACATCTTGGTGTTTGTCTGTTTGTCCGTATCTTAAATCAGTCCAAAACCTTGAATGCAACAGCCCAACTACAGGGATTTTCTGCTACATACTCAAGTTTCAGCCTGTTCCTGAGTCTGAATATAATATCTTGTCCACAGATACAATACCGCGCTTTAAATCCATCAGACTCCATCATCACCACCCGACTAAACTTCCGTTTGTAAAGCTAATACCGGGGTGGGATCACGACCTCGGGAGATAATCGCCGCTTGAGTCCAAAAAATCGATAAACAACCTTGGAACTAACAACTATCAATGTCGATGATAAGTATCTGCCGCTGGTATCTCTATTGAATATCGTCGGTAACTAGACGAAAGAGTCCAGTCTTTATTCCAATGTTAGGATCCTACTTCCTTCTACAATAAACTTGGAACCGACATATACTATCAAAATCGGCTCTTCCGAATCAAGAGCTCATCTTTCAACTGATACCTATTACGTATCCATCGCCTAGGGGGCTATAGACTTCAAGTTTGCGTAAAGGAATATAGAATGAAAATAAATAAATACTATATTCCGGCATGATGAAGATAAACTGAAGAGACTAGTATATACATTGAAAGGCAGATGACAGATAGGTTGAAAAGGAAAGATGGAATAGAAACTTGAAGACGCGTAAATCAATTCAATGTTCTCTGGGCATATGCACTAATCACGCCTGAATTAATTGGCTAGCGCACTGGCACGGGGCGGCCCTTTTACCTCTGTGCTTCAAGTTGATTATCTGGATCTTAAATCCCGTCGTCTTCCTCCTCCACACCACTCGTATTCACGTACTTGTCCCAGGCCTTACAAGTAGAATGCAAGGAGCTATAGTCGATCAGTTCGCGAGCCTCCTCATATCTCTCCAAAAACTGAATTGCAAAACCCTCTTCAGTGTGCCAACCAATATGGCAATGCATAAGCCACGCGCCCGGATTATCAGTCTTAAAGCCAACGACCAAGTATCCCGATCCGGAGAGCATCGCCACATCACGGCGAGGAGGATTAGTCAAGGTCGCTATATCTGAAGAACTGTATGTACCAGTCCCTTGGGCTAGGATGAAAAAATCATGTCCATGAAGGTGAATAGGGTGAGGAACAGAAAGGGCTGTTTCAATGACAACGTACGACCACTCGTTCGCTCGTGGTAACTCGATCACGCCGCTTTCTTGTGCGAATGATGTGTCGTTATTCCAAATTTGAAGGAGGGTCGGATTGTCCCAGTAGACTTGCATTGAAGTGCCGTTCATCTTCCAGCGGAAGAGATTCTCGGAGTTCTCGCCCAGTGTTACAGGCTCGCTCGAGTTATAGTATGGCAGTGATGCGCTTTGTTGTAGATATGGGACCAGATCGGACATGTCCATGTCGTCGCAACTGTCGGTATAGCTGTACTTGCTTGTTGTAGGTGTCGATATTGAATCGCCGTAGTACATGATACCCTTGATGTTGTCTACACTGTCGTTGTCTGAACAAGCTTCTTGGGGAATCGCACGTATCCAGAAACTATCACCTCCATCTGATTGGTCTGCATTGACGATGACGTCGTATCGCTGGCCTGTATAAGAATGAATCTAAATTAGCAGAGGTCATAAAATGAAGGCTAAGGGACCCTTACCCATAGCGATGCTCAAGACGGTTGTGTTAAAAGGCTTGATAGGAACGAAGTCCATGGCAATTACCGTGAGTGTATGATTGTCAATCATGAATTTGAACATGGTGTCAATGGCGGCGTTCACCAAGCGAAACCGATAAGAGGTACCAGCGGAGACTGAAGTGTTGAAACGATATCCAGTTTGACTGGTCGAATTGTCAGCGCCATACACATTAGTTCCATTAATCAGGCCGTTATCTAATGTAGGCGGACCATCCGTCTGGGCACTTTCGTAGAGCTCATCAACAGTCCGGTGGCTCCAATCATTCAAAAACAGCATTCCCTTGTCCACATCATAGTTCTCGGTAGCTGGCCCATTGATCAGAATACCACCAAAAACGCCCTCCCAGGCTTGTAGCCCAATGTGAGAATGATACCATGAGCTTCCGTACTGTGTAACTCTCCACTTATAGGTAGTCATCGTACCCGGAGCAGTCGGGCACTGAGTTATGGAAACAACGCCATCATTTGGATTTGTGTAGTTCTGACGAATTCCATGAAAATGGATACTTGATCCGTTCTTCGCTGATGCCAGGCTGTTGGTGACATGCACCACGACATGGTCACCCCAATCAGCCTGGATAGTAGGACCGGGAATAGATTCATTCACAGCTATGGCTGTGCGGGAATAGCCATCCGGGGCGACAGTGACTTCCTGAATATCAAAATAATATTCTCTTGTCACGCCTGTTTCGGGGACGACCTCGTAGTAATTGGTAGACACATCGTAGTTGCACCAAGTTTGTCTGTCATCGGCTGAGTTTCCGGAGCAGACATCTCGTTTTTGTCTGATATGGTGGTTCTTGTGTCTTTTATGTGTGGACATTGCAGATGACACCTCGAGAAGAGCTAGGAGCACACCAAGAACCTTCATGGCGAATCAATGTTGGAGCCTCAGTAGCCGTACTAGTAGAGACGCAGTATCACAGATCCAGAAATTATAAAGATATCAATGCATAAACGAATGGACAAGTCTAGTCAATAGACTATTTTTCGGAATGAAAGAGCGAAATGGTGTGGGCGTATGGTCTCTTGCCCTAGTAGGATATCACATCTTTATAAATCTATATGCCTCACACATGATTAATCTCATCTCATCCGTGTCATGAAGATCGACAGTCTTGGCCATTCTCACAAGGGAGTAAGCCGACATGCCCACATATTGGGGTAGTTCATAATTTAATTGGAGCACGATCTACTCCACGCATAGTGCATCGTAAGCCTTGAGTGGAACTCCACTCCGAGACACTCCAAATATTTGAGTCTATTTTGAGACATTCACCAAGAAGTCCTGATTATAATGGGAGTTGTAAACAATCGGATTATTCAGCGGAGTAGCAAGTCCTAGAGTTAGCTTGTGGAGCGGGTTTGCTTCGCAGATTCCATCAGATTGCGTGGCGAATTGCGTGGCGCGATCACGAACTCCCTGCTCCATCAATTTATTTGGTCTTGTTTTGTTTTGAATATTGAGTTTCATAGTTACTCAACTGGATTTGTTGTTCTTCTATTCTTCCTTTCTACCCAAATGAATAGAATAGTGTGCACGGTAGATGGGTAATAAGGATCCATGCTTCTACGGATGGTGAGCCCTACGCGGCAATTAGGATAATTAAAGCTACGATTAGCATCAGTAATTCGCCTTAGTGCAAAATAAAACCCGCAATAAGAAACACTATCACTTGAACTCCGTAAGATCTAAGTTCAAGAGTCGGAACCAGGCACCCGCATAGCGGCAGAGACGTCAACCACTACGCGTCCTACGATTGTGGATCCCGCTCGCACACATACTCACAATTCCTAGACACCAGATATCCAGATGTTCACCTAGATGCATGGATTACTATGTGATCAGCCATTGTCTGGATAACCTTGGAAGACCCACAAGCTACCAACCCGACATCTGACTGAAATGCGACAGCTTAGACTCGGAGTACATAGTCCCACCACATACATTCTATATAGACTCTTTACAAGATCACTTGAGAGGTGTTCCCGTGTCATTTATTTTTTTTATCTTTCGTTACCAACTTTCCATCATGTTCAAACTTGGAATTTTTATGACAATTCTTTGCCTTGGTGCATCTGCTTCTGCCTCATCGGACGTCCCTCGCAGCACGGATGAGAGCGATGAGGGCTTTGGTCTTTATGCCTACGGGGATTCAGTCGGAGGTCTCCCTCTTTTCTATTCCGAAGGTATGTTTCCATATCAAAGGCGATATTTGACTCCCAGCTAACGGTCTCTGCTAGGAAAAGCATTTATTGGAGACCCGACCAACTCTACCAGCTCGACTGCTTCCTCTGTGACCTGTAAGTGCCAACCCTGATTGTGTTCGCCAAACAAGACCAAGAATCTAATATGATACCTCAGTCATAGCAGACTCTTCCAAGGGATGGGTTGGCAACCCTAACGGCACCACCAAGGCGAAGGCTGGCTGGTCCGATGAATGTCTCTACATTCCCAGTTCATCCTCTTCCGACCATCAAATGGGCTTTACCTCCGAGACTTTGTCTAATGAGACGACTGATGCATTCTTCCTATATGGACAATGGGTGATGGTCAAGTCAGACAATGATGACATATCGTCCAGCTTTTATATTCGCGAGGTCTCTGAAAGCGAGGGTACCTATTCATTGCTGTGGAATGTGACTGATGAAGACGGTGCTGTTCCGATTTCTCTGCGCTCTACGAAACCTTCTGACTAGGAGTATTAACTAGGAGGATTAACCAAGAGGATTGGGTGCTTTGAATAGCACGATTAGGTATCGCCTTAGTGCACTGTCAGTGAGCAGAGTATGTGTTGACTTTGTATGCAATGGCAAGTGGCGACGTTTTAGTATCGAGATGTACCGGCTTTTCGAATTTTCAACTTTGAATTTTTGCATATACGGAAGATCGGGCTACTCTTCTGGAAAATAGAGGGCTCACCGGAAATGAACCGCTAGCACCTCAGAGTCTTTAATGAAGGTATGGCTGAGATAAGTGAGACAGATTTAGTAGAGATGTGAAATCCATTACAATAATCTGATCCTAATGGGAATTATCGCTGAGGCGCTCATCCGGTCCTTCTTCCTCCGCCGTAGCCATTTTTAATTTCGCTATCATCTCCACAGTTACTGGTCAGTAGTAGTCCCTCCAGGTCGCCACTAATTATATTCTACGAGCTTGTTTGACTAAATTCCTGCATAATTCTAGATGGTGTCGGCAGCGTCGGTGACTCGAGGACACGCGTTCATTCGATCGTCTAGTCTGATAAATTAATTAGCATACAGGCTAAACCTCGCTCGCAGTCAAGACTCTTGATATTCACTCTGCGGTGGATTGCGAAATGACCATGTTGCAGTTCTCAATGTATCACTTTTCCGGAGTGCCACTGCTTCTCTTCACATCTTGGCCCCGAGGTCAGTCGTGCGGAGCATCTTCCTTATCACTGCCCATCGGGCTGCCTCATCTCGGGGGATGCAGGATTATCTCATGAGAAATCTCGTCCTTTGCGGTGTCTTCTGTCGGACTAAAGGGATTTTGGGGATCGCCAAATAGGATGATAGGAACAGCGCATGCTGCATCGGGGGCCTAATTGTCGTTTAGCGGAGAGTGTATGCAGAACCCTAATTTAGTGTCATAATGAGTTTAGCAATACTTTTTTGGAGACTCCTACTAAACTTAGAGACAAGATTGCATAATCGACCAAAGTGATTCAGCGACCAATTCAGGCTTTGTCACTGGTTGATATTTAGATCTCCGTGGTGCAACTGATGCAAGGCCAAAGACTGGTCGCAGGAGCTTACACAGGCGCAAAAGATGGCAAACACAAACCTAATGCGGCCTGTAAACAGGTCAAGAATGTTTCACTTGTACATGCATCATTTCTATTCTCAGTAAAGATGTAGAGCTATCCTGGGAGTTGGTACGTGTCTGGGATATTTCTTCTCGGATCGACTTTGGAGATGAGCGCTGTACGGCAGATGCTCTTCTGTACTCTCAAATCAAGAACTCGCAGTATCCCGTGACCTTGATCCTGAGAGCTGTAAATATGTCATCTTTGACATTTGATTACTGCCAAATTGAAAAAGCGTTTATTTTTCAACTAGTGTAAACTTTGCCCATTTCGCTCCATTTTCAAAGGACGATAGGTTACATTCTCAAGACTTTCATCTTCGGATAAACCTTGTTATATACACTTTGTTTATGATATCCCAAACAGATGGCACCCGGAAAATGTGAATCTGACTCCTACTAGAAGGATACGGCTTACGTTTCAGGTCAATCAAACACTTGCTTCCCCCTAATGGCGATGACATCAGGAGGACATATCCACTTTCAAAGTAAATCTCAACCCATAAGCCCAGAATTGAACTATATAAAATTCATTCGGAAACGTTGGAGTCTGGAAGCGTCGAAAACCGTCCAATTTGTTGTGTGCGAGACAATTTGGGCTCCATGCCGGCAACGGAAATCACCCCGATTCTACTGCTAATAGCAGGAACCGATAGTACGCTTGGAAGCCGGATGGCATTGTATCTTCACCAAATAGCCATACTGTTATAATTTGCTGCTTATCAGACAAAGGAATTATTTTATTTGAACAATTTCAAGGGCTTGATATTTTAAAAAAAAAGCTTTCGAGAATCTGAGTCGAATAACAGCAATCAGTCGACAATGTACATAGGCTAGAAAGTAAACAGACCCCAAAAAGTTTCAGTCGTTGGAAATGCATGGAAAAGTCTTCTCTTGGATCGTGAACTTCATCGGGTTTTGTGGAAGCTACATCACTTCTCCAACAAGGAATCATCCGTGTATGGACTTTTACGTTCGATACAGAGATGGAACAGAAGGTAGAGTGCGTTGGCGAGTAAAAGCCCCTTTCAGCCCCTTTCATTTTTGGCAATTAGAACTTGTCCGAAATTACTGTTGCAGAGGTCCATGTACAAGTTGCCAGGTATCCTGTCCCTTAGACTGAGTGGCCATTTTCTGCAACAAAACTAAACCTCATCAAGGACGACGCAATGCGCGTAATATTTGACGAGCGATCAAGCTCTCGATTTCTTGTAGATAGTCGTCAAATTCAGCTGCAATTGCTCTGCATCGGTGAAGAAAATGGTGGACGGATGGGATTATATTTGAGTGTCGTTGTTTAAGCAACAACTGACGCGTGCATGCACAATGTACATTTAGCTTCGAATTCAGCATCATTTGCGATGAAAATTTTAATGAAGAGGATGGAAGCCATCGTTGAATTGTTTCTTTCCATCTTTGATATTATTATGCGCTTTGGGCTAGTTTTCTCCAGTGTCCCTCTTCTTTCAGAATAAATGAAATTCTTTTGTTGTAAACTGAAGAACATCTATGTCCCCATTGATTGGGACGATGCTTTTGCAACCGTTGTACATCTATGACTCCATTTCCTTTTTTTTTTCAAGTCTCAGGGCAGTACTGTATTGTATCCGCCGCTTCAATTGGCGTCATGATATATTTCATTTAAGACAAAAAGAATTATTTGGAGATTAAAGCTACCAATTCTGGGCTATGATTTACATCACTACCTAACGCAGTAGACTGCTTACCTATCGTCCTGAAATTAGGGCCCGAAATAATTTCAGTGTAAAAATCAGATGTAATCCTGTATTGTGGGCAGTATCGAATCCCTGCCCAAAACCTATTAAATTTTATATTCGAGACAAACAAATTAGACAAAACTTTGAGGTATAAATTTCAATAAGGCCTCAAATACTGGCTTTCCCTCCATATTGGATGTTTTCTCGCGCGCCGTCGATCACAATGCTCAAGATGCAGCTACGAATTTTGGGATATGGCGCGATTTAATTCTGAGACAGATTTTGACTCTCGGACTGTTCAACAATATACATTTTGTGGGAGAAGTGGACATGATTGTAGTTTATTCGAACGAACGCTGCTTTTTGATAAAGGAGATGGAGCATAATGAATAAGAAGTATCGTCAATTTGAGCCACTTGGGTCGGAGGTAGGTTGAGGGGACTAAAGACCACACACTACCGCAACACGAGTTAGCACATCTACAGGTATTGCTAAGTACCTTTTTTCAGTCTTCTACATGTACACCTCTTGTGGATATTCTGGAGTCCTCATTTGTAGTAATTGGGAGTTTGAAGAAGTGAAAATGGTGAAGACCAAAAAAGGGAAAACAGCATGATGGAGCTACCGGTCGAAAAGCTGTTACAATAGATGAGAAACCAGCAGGGTTGAATAATATTGTAATGCGCCAGCGGAGTTAGAGCAAAGAAGACGCAAATAAAAAAATTTATTCATTCCCTGAGATGTCTCTGCTTTTCACAAGCCATTTCACCTATGCCGGCTGCTCGGCTCCGTTAATTATCTATGATCCAGTATGACATGCGGAAAAGAATAAAAGGGGAATAAAAAGAGATTAAAAAGAGATTAAAAAGAGATTAAAAAGAGATTAAAAGTCTATCTTCGTATAAAACTAGGAGTTAACTCTTACTTAGAAACTCTGTCTTAAGAAATGAAAATCACGTTTAACTGCACATTATGCAATGAAGTCATAGATTGAGACATCCTTCTACTACTAGGAAAAACGCAAGCCGACTATGACTATTTTCGAGGACCGTCGTTTATAACTTTAAGCTGTGACACGGGGCGACGGTTGAAAGAACTCTCTGATATGGAGGTATTCACCGGATACTGTGCAGGCGATTTGTAGAAGACAGACACTGGACAAAATTCCAAAGTAAGAAAGGTCTTGTTGGCTTTCAAAAATAAATGTGTCAGTAATAGAAAGTTCAAAAAGCTCAGGTGCCATTCTGAAGCGTCATATCTCAATGGGGGATTTTTAATGATCTCTACCACCACGGACACATGTATATACACCAAGGAGGGTGGTGGGGGGGGGGGGGGGGGGGTTATTCATTGTCACTTTCACTAGTTTTGAATACGTGCATTTCCGACCTAATATCTTTGGAAAGGCAAAGCTACACTGATCCTAGTATTACTTTGTGTGAAAGAGCTGGATTTATATCACTGTTGGTTTAACGAGATCACAGACTTTCAGTACGAAACTTGATTTAAACGTTCATTTGCCCACACATAGCGCAACCTACTCAGATCCGTCCACAAAGTGAAAACTAGCATAGGATATCACAGAATTCAATGAAAATTAATTTGTGTGAGATCAATTGTTTCTGACCAGCCTTATCAAGCTCGATTGCAGTCAAGATAGTACATATTAACTTGGGCGTATTTAAAGAGCATTGATAACATGCAATGGAAGGGGAATCATGAAAATTCATTGATCTGGATTAGCCTTGAGCATTGCAGAGCTTTTTTTGGAACCAATACCAATGTCTACGCACAATATGAATACAAAATCGACTAGACATTCAAATCTTCAAATTGAGCGGTACGTCATGTACACTGTCAAAAGATGGCTGCTGGCAAGGACGAATGCATCGCTTCGGGCAGAGGACTGGTGTTCAAAACCCCTTCGAGACAAAGAGAGGTCCAAAGAACCGAGAGGGCAGCAGGTGGTGAGGTACAGTGTGGAAATCAAAGAACATCCCACCAAGCCATCAGTAATCACAATGATTTGGAAGATTTATTGGGAGGGAACCAGAGGACATCTCGCCAGTGATCAAAGTCTGACTAGAGAGCAAATACTGAGAGGGAACCGAAGGACATCTCACCAGACCAGCAGTCGTACATGTAGACTTTGCATCAGAAATCAGGTGCTGCGAGGCAACAAGAGGACATCTCACCAGACCTTATAGAGTCCAATTGTACACTTAGCATTGGAAAGTGCTGGGAGGAAGCAGATGTACATCTCGCCAGATACAGTAGGTAATGATGAGGATTTTTCCTGAGACGCCCAATTCTTGCGGGGCATCGGCTCAATTTAAATTAAGCGTACATAATGCGATGGGAACTAAGAATGTAACTTTAGCGAGTAACGCTGTTGCTCTTCTAGGTACCGTGGTTTCTGTTTCTCATTCCTAGTTACAAAGGTGGGCTACGTAGGGAGGCCTGGACTGGTCGATAGGCACCAAACGCTGGCTCAAACCTGAGGAGAAGTTTGGACCAGGAGACAGAAATCAATAGAGCGAAATGGTACTATGCCTTCACTTATGAGCAATGTTCATTTAATTCTAGGCTAGGAAGTCAACGTGAAAGCCGTCCCAGGGGTCAAGTGGGGTTGTGGGACTAATTCTACCACCGTGTACTTTTCATGAACCGGTGGATACTTCGATGAAAACCGTGGAATTGGCCGTCCTGGAAAGCAAAGGCCGTACCGAATGAATCCATGGATATTGTATAAATGTAAACAATCACTTCAATATCACTGTTATAATCTTCCCTTCTTTCGGAGCTCTACTTGTCCTTGTTCTGTATTCCTCAAATCGGCATTAGAGGCTTGTCTTTCAGTGAGATAGGAAATGCCAGTACAGAGAACTGCTCGCAGACCCAGAGGGACAGAAGTCCCCCCTTCGCAGACCACACGGCGTCCGCCAACTAGTACAGCTGGCCTCAACCCTACAGCACGTCGGCCGCAGCCACAACAAGCACCGGTATGTCTTCTAGACCGCATCCCAGCAGGCGGGTAGGGCAGCTACTAATACCAGCCCACCAACCAGAGGAATCAGCAACATGCGGCGGCTACAGATAACTCCCGAGACCTGGGCGATGACTTCGATCTCGTCCATGCGCATTGTCGAGTAGCGATCAACAATGCTGAATTGCATAACCGACAGCTCACAGCCCGGCTCAACGAGCGACAGCGAGAGATCGCAGCCAGCAGCCAGCGACTCAGCAGGGAGAAGGCGCAGGCCAGTGTCCAGCTCCACCAGTTATCCTCGGAGAAACAAAGAGCACTGGAGGAAAGCAGCCGCCTGAAGAAAGAGATTGTTCAATTGAACAATCGGCTTGATACGGTTGTCAACGAAACCCACAATCTGATATCTCGCACAGAAGTGCAGGATATGCTGAATGAAATCCACGCCTCAGCCGAGACATTCATGAAATCCTTGACAACCAGAGTGAGCGACAACGAGAATGTCCAGTTGTCAGGGCAGTTGCCTGCCTCTGATGTTGTCCATGATCCATGGATGAACCAATATGGCCCGTTTGAAATGCTGCACGACTCCGCCGGGACTGAAGTTCCTGACCCTGAATTTCCACTGGCAGACTAGGAGGGACTTCCGCCGCTGGGATCTCACTACGAGTTTCCGGACATCGATATCGGTGCATTATAAAGCTGAAAGGGAACGAAAGGGCCCACTTGGCGGCTGGTCGAGACCTATTTGAGGATCGCCAGACCGCGTGGACTTTGCGCAAAGTCCAGCCGGCTCAAGGGAGTCTAACATCCGACATTGATAAGTATCTGGACTCACAACCGGTGAGCTGGTCCCACCACATGATCGGCGATGCGGACGAAGAATGGGTCTTGAAATGGTGGAGGGCTAACGAGTTTAATTTCCCGCTCATGGCAAAAGCCGCTCGCGACTACCTAGCGATCCCCTCTGCAGAGGTCGGCATTGAACGTGAGTTTAGTAATGCTAGAGATGTGTTGGGCCTCCGCAGACACTGTCTGAATGCGGAGACTATGCGATGGTTGATGCTATTGAAAGAACGGTATTCAGCATAGATATCCTGTGATTCACAGTTCAATGGCTCGTATGTATTATGCTGTGTAAATCGAATGCATGAATATTGATGATGTATTGGAATGTGACGAGGCGAATGGGAATGTATGGTATCTTTGTATTTTAATAAATATGAATAATTCATTTATTATGAATAATGCGAATATGAATAAGCGCTTTATTCATATTCATATTATTCAATTCCTTTTATCCATATTCGCATATATTCATGAATATTCACAAATAATCATATTCCTTTCGGAGCCCTATATGAGGCTGGTGCAGATCAGGAACAAAGCCGCATCAATGGGAATAATTCCCGGGGTGTCTATGCGAAGAACCAAGTTAACTTCCAATCAGCTTGATCTCGTTGTATATGTGGACCCATGACTGTCAGACGCAGCAAGGGTTTCGCAATCGTACCTGGTCTCACTGTGAACCACCGAAGCGACTACTTTGCAACGACTCGTCGCAGCGCTCGCTCTCAACCTCCGAGATAATGAAAGCACAACGAGCAGGTGCAGTCCAAGTACGGGAAGCGGTGCGAGGACTGGAAAAATATGGGAGGTAATTGTCACACGCTTTGACCCCTCGGGTGTACTGACCAAGCCTACGTCTTGGTCAGCCACCCTTTTTGTCAAACCCACATTGAATTGTCAATCTTTACACTTTTTGAGCTTTTCCAGCGACACCCCTTCTGTATCAACTATATAAAGTGGTTTTCCATTATCTCCTATGACCCATCCCTCGAGATCCTCGAGATCTTTGTTTTCGTCCGATCTTTGCGGAATTGAGACCGAATCCTGCGCAGCGGCCCGGAGCATGCGCATATGGTCCGATTTTTTCTCTTCTTCGTCACGCTTCCAAATTCGGCGATTAGCGTCTAAAGGAGTTAATGCAGTAAGGCTTGATAACTGCTTTCGAGTCCTTTTGGTCTGAATTGGACGTTGACGAGCTTGAATTGATAATAATTTGCTTTCAAGCTCATGTGTATACTCCGCGTTGATCAATTGACCCGTTTGGTAGTGCTTGAAATCACGTTTTAATCGATTTAGCTCTTCGGTCTGATCTTCCATTTGGCCTGATATTTTTGCAATACGTTTCTCGAGTTTTTTTCCCATCCGATTAAGCTTTTCAACTGTTTGTGGTGGGGATATAATAGGCGAAGACTGTGGTTCAGGTGTATGGCCTAATAACTCGAGAATTGGGTCGATTGCATGCCTTTCATCCCATCTTTTTTGTATTGGTCCGATCACAATATTAGGGTTAAAAGGCCATATACCAGTATCTCGAAACGCGCTTCGAATAATACGTGGTGTGATTGCCTTCTTTCGAATTAAGGTTATATCCTCGAGGAATTGACGCTTTGCTGAATCAGGCCGGAACCATGCGTTTGTAAGCGAATTTTCCTTCCGGAAATGCTATTTTAGGCTTAAAAATGGCTTTTGGTCTAAAGGTTGTGCAAAATGGGACGTATGGGGTCGAAAGCTTATTGGAATAATCCGATTTTGGTCGCAGAAGTCGAGGAATTCGAAGGTTAGGTGGGACCCATGCCCGTCGAAGAAGAGCACGCGTTTACCATTAGTCCCAACGCGGTTTTTGGTGTTCTCGTGGAAGATATGTAACCATTCGAGGGCAATCAGATCGGACGACCACCCGGTCGGAGAGACTTGAATATTATAGTGTTGGTCGAGGGCAGGGTTATCTCGGAACCAATCTTCCATATGCGTCTGACCTTTGAAGATGAGATATGGGACCATTGACCACCCGTCCGCGGCAATACACTCGATTGAGGTAGCGATCTGACCTCGATCGGTCGAGGCAAGCTTCTCAGAGCTATATTGGTAGCGCGTGACGACCTTTTGAGCCCGTCCTTGACCTAATTGGAACCCCGTTTCGTCGAAATTGTATATATTCTTCGGACTAATCCCTTCCAACCAACCTCCAACGTGCTCAAACCATGTGATTAAATGCGAGATATCCTCAGATTCGAGTCTCTTCTTATCAATAGGCTTTTGTTTAATCCAAAAGAAGCCTTCCGGAAGGCGTCGTACGAACCGACTTGCCCACATCTTGCTTATTGGAGGTTGACCCGATCGGACTAGAATAGAATTCGCGCAACGTTCGATCTCTTGGAGCGTGCAAGGTGCCCATAGATCGTCGAGTTGCTTAATATATCGGATTAAAGCAGTCTCTTGCACTAAATTTAGGGCACGTTGACCCGATCGCTTGTCCTCGAAGTTTCTACGTTCGTGGAACCGGCGGACGAGCGTTCTATATGGAAGGTTAGACGACCGGGCTAAAGCGCTTAAATTGGGCGTTTGTTGATCGGATACGGTTGCTAAGGCACGTTGAATTCGAGTCTCGAGGTCAGAAGACATATTTAGCCTGTTCTGGTTGAGAGATGGGATTAAAAGGTGAAATATTGACAATTCAATGTGGGTTTGACAAAAAGGGTGGCTGACCAAGACGTAGGCTTGGTCAGTACACCCGAGGGGTCAAAGCGTGTGACAATTATTGTTCGACTTTTGCTCGCCAGGTCAGAAAGCATCCGTGTACCACATTAATCAATACAGTCATGCTCTTCTACTAGATTGTCTGTGATGCTGCGTGTGTCGTAGACACCTCTTTTTGGTAATTAACTAATTCTGGTACCACTTCTCCGAGCATGGTAATCCTTGCAAACGGGATGCATGAGGATGAACAGAACAGAATCATTTGAATTGTAGGCAAGTCCAGGGATACAAATGGCACGACTGTCGCAAAGTACCTTTTTCTGTCATCCACTCTACTGGAGAGTGTGATTGGCGTAATGAAGGTATCTGTGGGCCAATCTGACCCTCATACTCTCTCCAAAGCGGATAAAGACCAAGTTGGTCAACAAAACGACAGTAACAATAAGGCCAAATGTAACGAAAAACCACGTTAAACCAGCCCTTTCAATCCATGGTTTGTGGATGAACACAAAAACCATTGAAATAACGTTGCGCATGAATGTGACACCGACCAGTGCGTTGGCAATTATCTTTTGACGTGTTAGTTTCGGGACTTCGATAAAGGATATTTTGCTATACCATACCTCTGTGTATGAGTCGGTTAGGTACGTCAAAGCAGCGCTGCTAGCTGGCACCATTCCGAATCCCATAAGCGCCAAGCCAAATGCAGGGAGCAGCCAGTGAGTGCCATTATCCAATCCAATCCCAAACATGAAAAGGCCAGCAGGAACGAATGGTGTGAAAACTAGCGGTACCCAAAGCCTCATTTCAGGTTTGAAAACACCCCCATTCCTTCTAGCGAGAAAGAGTGCGAGCCAGTCCATCAATGGCCCACACATGAGGCTTGAAAGACTGACACCAATAAATGGTGGAATCCCCATCAGTCCGATCTCTTGAGCGCCAAAATTATATGGAGGCAGAGTCATCACCGATGAGAGGGTAGTCACCGTCACTGTGGCACAAGTAGTCGTGATACCATATACAACGGCCATGAATAGTATAGCTGGGAAGGTGAACAAGACGACAAGCGGCTCATAAACATGACGCACCACGTGAATAAATGGCGTAGGCGAAACAGCCCAAAGCCTAAGCTTATTCCAGTAGGTCTTTTTTGGGATGGATTGATCAATTCTCATACTGGAAAGCGTTGGATTTGCTTCTTCAATGCTGTTTCCACCTCGTCGTGTTGGTTGTGCTTCCTCGATTCTATCTCCATCCCGTTTCACTTGTAAGTCTTGTCGCTCTTTGTCGACAGGCGGACCCACCCCAGAGCTATCTATGACTTGAACCCCATCAATGTGCCGAAGAAACATTGTTTCTTCGTAAAGAAATACTAACCCAACGAGCCCCGTACCTAATAGGATGGCGACCCACCACCAAACCCAGCGCCATCCCTGAGAAAGGGTAATGTACCCACCTGCAACAGGAGGGAGGCTTGTCCCGACAGCCACAATCCAGTAATATATAGTATTAACCCGTCCCCGCTGATGGACGAAGTAAACATCTGCCACAGTCATTTGCACCAACACCTCTGCCAAGGCCCCAACGAAAGAAACCATTATACTGGGGATCATAAGGTCAAAAACAGATTTCATCTCCGCAAGCCACACACAGAGACCGCATTGAACAGCGGTGCTGAATATATAGACTGGACGACGGCCGAATTTAAGGGCGAAGGGGATTAGTAGTAAAGCACCAATAGCCAGTGAGGCACAACCTGCAGCATAGGAGTCGTTAAGTAATGTAAAGCCGAAACCGAGCTCTCGGTTCATAGGCCCCCATGTGACTGTAGCTACATCAAGCCTTTGGAAATTGTCAGAAAATATATCTCCAGAAGAAGCAGAAAACTTACACGACAAATATCATCAGAGCATAGTAAGACACAAATCCGAAATTCATATTCTTTCTCCACGAAGGCCAATTCTGGTGTTCATCCTTGTTTAGCCCCACGTGTAGTGAATGGAGGGGTTTTGGACACCAACCAGGGGATCATTTGGATCTTTGCTGGGCCTTGGCTGCAAGATAATTTCAGATACCGATTCTGACAAAGCTATCGGCTAGGTAAGTCGCTAGATGTTGAATGATAGTTGCTATATTCACCGACCTTCAATATGCACGTTTCCCGGAGGCCAATTGGATCCCATTTCGTATGGGCTGCGAAGAGATATTCTTCAGCGGACAAGGAAGTAAAAATGGGAATTTGGCCAAAAGTCCTCAGCGAAGAAGTCAATGTGAATATTTTTGAGACGGGTTTAACCTGGATTTATGGCACTGATGGCCCGGGAAAATTATGTTGTGGGGGAAAATTCCGGGAACGATAACGAGAAAGGGTTTTATTCTGTTCACTCCCATCCCAAGTCGAACCAATGGCAATCACTCCGCTTGAACCACGCCAACGAAACTGAGTATGATTAAATGTTGGGCGAAATTGTTCACGAGGCTAGATCTGTATCTTTCAAAAGGTACGGTGTACATACGGAGGATCTTGGGTGTGTATCAGACCCTGTCCTATTCCTGTGGTATTGTACCTAAATGATCAGCCTATAGTTGAGCTTTGGCATGATATCTGAAAATGATCTGTGGAATCTTTCGACGTATGAATTGACACCGTTACAAACAGGAACGCTGTGTTTAAGGTTCTTTGATCAAGGGCATCGCTAGGCGGATACTGCTTTCGACTCTATATTCCCTGATATTGAGGTGGAGGTCCCCCACTCCGAAGCTTCAACAAAGCAATATTGGGAAATATATGGCTCAAGGGCGCAATGGCATCTGATTTGAGGGTACAATCGCATGTGATTGGAGGGCGCAATCGCATCTGATTGGAGGGCACAATCGCATGTAATTGGAGGGCGCAATCGCATCTGATTGGAAAGCTCGTCACAATATCTCGTTTTTGTAACAACGAATTCAGCGTTTGTCGGAAAAGCGTTGGATCGTAGGTTTGGATATGCGCATTATATAACCAGCGCAGTCTCTCATTGATACGACCTGATCTACCACATTACTGTGAAGCAATTGTATCACCTTGATTGTCCCGATAAACTCGCCATGTGCTCAATTGATGAAAACAAGGAGCAAGTAGGCTGGCAGGTGAGTGTTGAGTCGGCATGGCAACATCGCCGAGAAACTATTCCCAGAGAATGGCAGCTGCCCACTTCTATAATGCAGACTCTCGCTTTTCCACTTGACAAATGTGGTAACAACTTATCGGCTATGAGCATTCCTCAAAACTCTGGGATTCTTTCTATTCGTGAACTTATGATTACGGAAGAACTCACCGTGAAGGAATTACTCGCACAGCTTTCATCGGGTGAAATTTCCTCTTTGGAAGTGACTCTCGCTTTTTCGAAGAGAGCTGCACTTGCTCAGCAATTGGTATGGACATCCTTGGGTTGACATGAATTGATTTGCTAATAACTATGTTTTGAGACTTCCTGCCTTACTGAGACTCTTTTTGATGAAGCATTGGCTCGTGCAAAATATCTTGATCAGTGGAGGAGCGATGGCAACCCACTCGCACCTTTGCACGGTCTCCCTGTCAGTCTCAAAGATGGGTTTCAAATAATTGGAACTGAGGCTAGCATTGGATTTGTCTCCTTCCTGGGGAAGAAATCGGTATCAAACTCCCCATTGACCGAGATCCTGCTTGAACTCGGAGCCGTGCTATACGTGAAAACAAACATCCCTCAGACCTTGATGACTGCCGATACCGACAACAATATCTTCGGAAGGACATTGAATCCTCGCAATACATTACTTACTGCAGGTGGCTCTAGTGGAGGGGAAGGAGCGCTAATAGCTTTCAGAGGCTCACCTCTGGGTATCGGGACCGATATTGCGGGTTCGGTCCGCATCCCGGCGTCGTGCTGTGGATTATACGGCTTCAAGCCCACCTCTTGCCGAATACCCTATGGAGGACAGGTAGCTCCCTCGCTGCCCGGGTGCAAACCAGTCACAGCCTCGGCAGGGCCATTGGCGCATGATCTAGAGTCGCTCAGCATTCTAATGAGCGCAGTAATAGGTGCGAAACCTGCAGCATTTGACTCGACGGCCATTGACACCCCCTGGCGCCATGTCGAACGTGACATCAGATCTGTTCTTAGGATTGGATTACTCGAAGAGGATCATCTATATCCCTTTCATCCTCCTATGATTAGAGCACTAAAGGAAGCCGCCCAAAGGCTACAAGCAGAAGGGCATGAAGTCATCCGCCTGAGCTCTGATGAGGGTGGCGTATCTGATGCGAGTCAAATTATCGGAGGTCTCTTCAACCTTCATTCTGAAACATCTATGGAATATATCAGATCCAGCGGAGAACCTCTGGTGCCGTGTGTGGCGAAGGCGTTGCAGAAGACAAACTCTTCTAGCAATAAATTCACCTCAGATCTGGACGGGCTCGACTTAACTCGCAAGTACGCCGCTTTAACCGTGAGACGGCATGAATTTGCAGAGAAATGGAGAAAATTGTGGCTGGAAAAAGGAATTGACGCCGTCCTGGGGCCCTCAGCACAGACCACGGCGATACCACATGACTCCTGGATATGGTCGCCCTATACATCAATCCTCAACCTCCTTGATGTGAGTTTCTGATGAATGCTGCTAAAAGCAAGTACTCATTGAAGCAGTATCCCGCTTGTGTAATGCCATTTGGTCAAGTTTCGAAGTGCGACTTTGAAACCATGGAAATTGCGGAGGAGCAAACTTGTCTAAATTGTAAGCTTCGCGAAAACATGATACCTTCATGCACCTAACACCTAACCGAGCCGCCAGATAATCCGGATAATTTAGAAGGAATGCCTTGTTCAATTCAGGTCTTCACGAACCGCATGAGAGATGAAGAATGTCTCAAGATAGCAGGAGTAATTGACGATTGCCTCAAAAGGCGTTCTGGATACGAATCTACTTGATCACCATCATTTGAATAGACGAGGAACAATTTTATATTTCCCCTCTCCTTCCCTTACAGGATCTCCTCTTGCTCTCTTCTTCTTTCAAAAAGGTCCATGGACCTCGAACCTGTATTCATGATAGCCAGACACGACCCACACCCGTCTCCCAGATTAAAGCATCTAGACTGTCACATCCAGTTTCAGAATAATTTTCCATAGCGGTGTCTCTATCGAAATACCCAGGAGCCTTCCACACCCTTTCCAAAGCATTCACAGTTCGTTTCACGTGACCAGAATGGGATGTCTCCCAAATTCGCAGAAGTTGATCCTGTATGACTGCTTTGGTTTTCGTGTAAAGGGATCCTCCCCGAGAAGAAAGGCAATCCTGAGACTCTCCTGAGTCGGCATTTGGGCAGACTGCGCAACCCAATATAAGCATCGGCCAGCAGATAAACTGCCCATAACGAGCATTTCCATCGTACAGTTCAAGTAAAGCAAGACCTTTCGAGAGCAATTCAGTGATCTCTGGAGAAGAACTGCATATTTCCTGGGGGTTTTCAAGCTTGCGGGCAAAAATTCGCGCTGCCAGAAAATATAATTCGGTGCCAATGTCAGCATTGCTCATATTGTTGTCGTCTTTTGTAAGCGAGAGTTTTCCGAAACGAGATCTGATACGACCACGTTCTAGCCGGTAGATTTCAGCCACGTAACGTAAAGCAAGATCGTGATTGAAGCCAGTTTCCAGCGGGCGCTGTCTGCTCAGCCAGGTCATCTGGTAGATTAATAGAAAGAGTGCCGGAGGTAATTTCCCGAGGACAGGCAGAATTAATGAAGAAGGCCGAGGTTTCGCTTGTTCGTTTTCAATGGCTTTGATATACTTTTCAATTGCTCGACTTGGAAAGGATGAGCAAGCAACACGAACGTCTTTTTCAAAAATGAGCCTGGTAGAAAAATGATAGAGTATGGAATCCAGCGCGGTCCAATGCAAAATTGAAAACTGCAAAGTATCGAATTCCGAAACATCCATTGTTTGTTGTTCTAGAACTCTCGCCAGGGCTGTATAATGTGTCAAGCTTTGGCTGATCGGGGCCAGGTAGAAGTCCTGTAAAAGTTTTAGCACTAGCAACATTGATTTTCTCGGGGACAAACCTCGAAAACCCCCAATGAAAGGCAAGTTGCCAAAATCATATCGCCGCAGTGCTCCGTATGTGATACTCGAACTGCCCGCCGAAGGCCTCGGAGTGCACTTTGGTTGTAAATCAAGGCATATTGTTTGGGAACTATTGCATCCCATGAAGCATGAAGAGCAGCACAGGCGAGCAGAGCATGCATAACCCATTGTTCATTGGACGCAATGGTGAACATGAACGAACTATTGGTGAATTCGGGGTTAGCATCTGGCATAGTCACCAGATGGATAAATTTCATGGAATAGTATTCCATTAACCGCGAATCAATGTCGGATGTTAATGCAGAAAATGCCAAAGGTAGCGGGATGTTCCGAGGAAGACATGGCAGTGGCGCGATGAATGAACCTGTTTTCGACGAGGGCTTTTGAACTCCGTAGACACAATTCTTTTGAAGCTTTTCACACGCCCTACATGTTGGTTTCTTCTCGTCGCATTTTTTCCGTCGTTCCCGACATGAGTGACAGCCCGTCTTTGTCCGCAATCGTGCAGTTCGGATTGACCGCGTCGGCATGGGGTGAAAACTGTTCTTGGTCGGGTCTTAATCATCTCTTCGTCAGATGGATTTTAAGGGGTCGATGGAGAGGTTCAGTGGGTGGAGATGGTGTTCATGACAATCTTGGATGTATTGGCTTTAAAGTGAGATATGAGATGACGTACTTATCAGGAGGATGTCGATTGAATACGGGTGAGATAGGGGGAAAAGGCACTCCTAGCCTTACCCCACTCTCTAAGCGCCACTGCACTTTGGTTTAACTTACACAATATGACGCATAATGGGTCATATTAATTTTCTGTCTGCACAGGCTATATTCGTATAGCCTAGTATGCTGAGGAGACCAATGAGGTCAAGCGGAATCAATATAATGTGGATTGAAAAATGATTGATTTAAGATGCTCCGGGGACTGCTGTTGAAGGACACATATTTTGGGGCGCTTAGAGGATACATGGACCTAGCGAATTCGTGGACGCTGTATACAGTGGCGCGTCAAATGCCTCCGACCACCCATACTGACCGCTATTTTCTGCCATACCAATTCTGCCGGATTAAACCTCATGAAAATATTAAATTCCTAACTAATATTTGGTATACCACCCATAGGAGTTAAGAATTGCTTGTACACGATGTGGTATAGTCTCCGAAAGATGCTCTAATACACTAAAATCAATATCTTGCCACGCAGCCTGAGCTGTATCAATCAAAATATTTAATGTAGTATCATTATTAGGTATATGAAGTAGATGAGGTCGTAGATCATAGATTTTCTGTTTTAAAAGAGTCCAAAGGTTCTCAATTGGATTGAGATCTGGTGAAAATGGAGGCCAGACTATGACCTCCCGTCTAAGCTCATTGCGAATATAATGACGGACAATAATAGCAGTATGAGTTGGAGTATTGTCCTGTTGGAACATCGTATTTGGATCAATTAATAAAGTCGGCAAAATTGTACGGTATGTACGAAGGATAATAAAGCGATTCACACCTCCACCTAGCTCTGGATCACCGTCAAGAGTTAACAATCCAGAACGACGGCGAGAGCCTGAGAAACAACCCCAAAACATTTGCTTACACTGGAATCCTCGATGGGGAGTTGGCATAACTTCTCCAGCTGCAGCTTGGTCTGAGGGTCGAATAAAAGAATACTCAGGACGAAGTCCAATCCTTCGTTCAATTGTACATTCATCTGACCAAAAGACTCGATCAGAATTATCTTTTTGGTAGTGTCGATACCTTTCTGCCCATTCAAGTCGGGCAGCAGCATGCTCAGGTTTAAGATAAGAACGTTTCATAACCCTCCATTTTCTCATATTCTCCAAGCTAAGAAGCCGACTGATAGAGCGTTTTTTGACTTTATGATCTACCTCTTCAAGAAGATCTTCATATTTAACTCGAGGATTTTTATGGACCTTTTGGAGGGCCTTTTGACGGTCATTCTCATCAAGTTTTTTTGGACGTCCACTCCGCTTCATAGATTCCTCTTTGTGTCGAAGCCGTGACTTTAGACAAGTGTATTTGATCGTTGATAAAGGCAGATCAGGGAATTTCTTAATATCATTGTAAGACCAGCTTGCCTCTTCTTTTAAGGTAGTAATCTTAGTGCGGAGGTGGACATCAAGTTCTTGACCTCTTGTTGTGATATAAGGCTGGTGCAGATCAGGAACCAAGCCGTCCCATCGGAATTAATGCCGAAATATCTATATACAGAATCAAGTTGATTTCCAATCAACTTGTTCTTCTCGTTGTATATATAGCCTCATATTTCCCTCTGGATGACAATAACAATCAATCTTCCTTTGATTAACAACAGGTTATGAGCCCGGGAGCAATCTCTCGGGTGCCGTCTCTACTCATCTGAGAAACATCTTATCTATCCATCTTGATTATATATCTACCCCGCTTTCAACTCATCAACTTATCATCATGTCGGCTCTGGTCCATGACTCCCCAGACCGAGCCGTCACGGCCATCGAGCCTCTGACAGGAAGCGACAACTTCGCTACCTGGAAACGTCTCATGACCTCCTACCTCAAAGCGAGACAGGTCTGGGACGTGGTGTCGGGCGACCTCCAGCGTCCTGACTGCCTGTTCAAGTACGCCAAACCTATTACGGCGGACATCCACCCCTTGGTGGAGCCCCACCTCAGCGGGGCGGTGAGGCAGCGCGCCATCGACGCGCGCCTCGAAGTGGAGGTCCAGGCGTTCGAGCGCCACCGTGAATGGTCGCGCCGCGAAGCCGAGGCCTACCATACTATCTTCCGTTACTTGTCCCCCCACATCAGCATTCATGTCGCGGGACTCGAAACATCTCGCGACCTCTGGAATGAACTTGAAGAACGGTATCGGCGGATGGAACTCGCCACGTTCTGCGAGCTGTTCGCCCAGTTGCGTGAGACCACAGGCGAGCGCTGTGGCAGTGCACGCGAGTTTGTCGATCGTGTACGGATGTTAGTACACCGGTTGAATGCTATCGTCCCCGGATCAATCGGCGACCGGACGCACATTGCGATTCTGTTGACTCAGATCGGACCAGAATACATCTTGATTGTAGATGCGATCCAAAATGACAAAGATCCAGTCAACCCGACCACGATCGGAAACCGTCTGGCAAATGCAGAACAGACGGTGCAGCGGAAGGACGCCGCAACGCTCCCGCATGGAGCGTCTGGCGCATCGAATAGCCCTTCAATCAATACCGTGCAGAAGAATACCAAAAAGTGTAACTACTGCAAGAAGCGCGGCCATGTGGTCGCGCAGTGCTGGAAGAAACAGCGAGAAGAACAGCCGTCCAGGGACCATGCCCTGAAGGCCGAACGGAGTGTTTCCGGCTCACCAAGAAGCAATTTGCGAAGTATACCATCAAGCCAGGTGGAAGAACGGCAGGGCCCGCCGACTTCCAAGAGACCGCGGATCAATGTTGTGAGGGCGAGGGTGACGACTCTCTATACCCACGCACCGTCACCCCGGTGGATCCTGGACTCGGCTGCCACCAGCCACATCTGCTGGGACCGGAGCTGCTTCAGCAGTCTGCGGCCCCATCGCGAGATGTTGGACACGGCGGGCGATCCAGTGGAAGCCGAAGGGATTGGGACGGTGAAGCTCACGCTCCGGGGGAAGTTCAACCAACCCCTGGTGCTCAAGAACGTATACTTCGCGCCACGCGTCGGGATGAACCTGATCAGTGTGCCGAAGTTGCTAAGAGACCGCTACTCGGTGGTAGCGCACCCGCAGAACGTCTTTGTGCAACGCCGAGGACGAACGGTGGGGACCGCCTACCATGCGGAGGAGGATCTGTTGATCCTGCGGTGCCATGTGAGCAAGAGATCTCGAGAACGAGTCCAACTGGCGAGGGCGCCGACGACCTATGGCCATGCAGATTCCCTGGAACCGCAGGCGGTGGCCATGGACGTCGACAGCCGTGAAGAGTCAAGTGGCGTAGGATGCGCATCGCCAACCTCTGAACTCGGTGGTGAAGCTGTGATACTCGAAGCAGATGCGGGCAAAGGAGTGGACCAGGCCTCCGAAGCGCTATGGCACGCTCGGATGGGACATCTGAACCGGGGCGACTTGAGGGTGGTCCTCCGGCAGACCGGCACTCCGTACCGACCGCTGACGCAGGCGCAACTGCAGGCAACGCCGCGTTGCCCGGCGTGCATGTCGGGTAAGCAGCATCAGAAGAGGAACTCCCGTGCAAGGCGGCCACGTCTGCATTCAACGAGAATTTTTGAATTGATCCACTCGGACATCATGGAGATGCCGATTGCCAAAGATGGCAGCAGGTACGTGATCACCTTTACTGACGATTATTCTCGGGGCTCATGGGCCTATGCCATGAGATGGAAACATGAAGCGCTGCAGAAGTTCCGACAGTTTGAGGCCTGGGTGCACCGACAATTTGGGGCCCAGATTAGAAGATTTCTTACCGACAATGGAAGAGAATATCTGCCGGTCGGAACACACCTCGAACGCCAGGGAGTTGAGTTTGACACCTCGCCGCCATACTGCAAAGGGCAGAATGGGCTGGCCGAACGAACGAACCGCACTATCCGGGAGCGGATCAACACGCTCCTGTCCGATGCAAACCTTCCTCCTTCCTGGTGGGTCGAACTTATAGATACGGTAGTCTATCTGAAGCTGCGCGCGCCAGCATCAATTCTGCGAAAAAGGACACCGTATGAAGTGATTTATGGGAAGCCGCCCTCGCTCTTGCATCTACGCCGGATCGGCTCTCGTGCCTGGGTGTTGATCCCAAAAGAGCATCGAGCCAAACTCGGACCGAGGTCGTCCGAGTGCCGACTGCTAGGTTATTGTGAACCCAACCAGTACAAGCTGTACGAAATCCACTCAGGAAAGACAATATTCTCCCGTGATGTCGAGTTCGATGAGAGGACCCCCGTGGCGCCACTCATCGAGGGGGAAACAGGCAACGACCTCCCGGACAACGCTCCTCCATCATCTGTCTTTCCACCAATGCCAAGTTCAGCCAGCGAGCTGCCAACACCTCCTGCGTCGCCATTACCTCGGTCGAATGAACGAGAGAAGCCGCCATCTGAGCGCGAGGATGAGACACCTCCAGTGATCAATCCAAGCCAACAGGAAACCGACTTGACATCGGATCTTGGGTATTCGATGTATGGTCGCAGACGAAGACCATCACGGCGTCTCCTGGAATCGCTGGGGAAGGTGTACTCGGCAGGCGCATTGAATACTGCACCGGCCAGACAAGCCGACCCGGCAACCTTCCGCGAAGCTGTGTCAGGCCCAGACCAGCTAATCTGGTGGGCCGCCATCCAGAAAGAATATGCGTCGCTTCTCGAACACGGAACATGGGAAAAGGTTCGGCGGGAGGACATCCCCGCTGGGGATCATGTGATTGGGTGCAAATGGGTCTTCAAGACCAAAACCAACGGAACGCGCAAAGCGCGACTGGTCATCAAAGGCTACCGGCAGAAACATGGCATCGATTATCACGAAACGTTTGCGGCTGTGTCGCGCATGGACTCGGTCCGCTGCATCGTCGCCAGCGCCGTGTTGCGCGGATGGAAACTCCACCAATTCGATGCGGTTACCGCATTTCTCCATGGAGACGTCGATTCGTCTATCTATATGGAGTTGCCCGAAGGCTTTGAAGAACCAGGGTACGTGTGTCGGCTGCGCCGTTCACTGTATGGGCTGAAGCAGGCCCCGCGGATTTGGTACCAATGCGTCCACCGCGTCCTGGCTTCTCAGGGCTTCACTATGGCCCAATCGGACAACTGTGTTTTCTGGAAAGCGGACTGCGTCGTTTGCGTTTATGTCGATGACTTTCTAGTTGCTGCGGCAAATACGCACGAAATTGAACAAGTACAACGAGCCTTACAAACCGAGTTCCGATTGAACGATCTGGGCATCCCTCGTTCGTTCCTCGGGATCGAGTTTGACTATCACGTTGATGGGTCCGTGTCTATTCACCAACATCAGTACATCCAGAAGGTGCTCTCCGACTTTGGCATGGAGAGTTGTCAGCCGAAGTCTACGCCGATGAATCCTAAGCAAAGCCTGAATACTCGCCCAGAGGAGGAACCTCCGGATGAAGAAGCAAAAGCTCGCTATGCAACTGCTATCGGCTCGCTCATGTATTTGATGGTTGGCACGCGACCGGATATTGCGTTTGCGCTCGGAATGTTGAGTCGCTTCACATCCCGGCCGCAATCGCATCACCAGGCCGCACTTCAGCGACTGCTTCGCTACATCAAAGCCACGCAATCTCACCGTATCACCTACCGAAATGGTCAATTGATCGGATACACTGACGCCGACTTCGGTGGCTCCGTCGTCACGGATGGAGCATACTCCACGTCTGGCTACGTGTTCCAACTGGCGGGAGCGCCGGTTTCCTGGTCGTCCAAACGTCAGGGGGAAGTGGCCACGTCCACGACTCATGCCGAATACATTGGCCAATACAATGCCATTTTACATCTACAGTGGCTCCGCACCTTTCTAGGAGAAACAAATCTGTATCGGTCTCCGGTCACTAATATCATGGCTGACAATCAATCCGCTATTGCGCTCTCCCGCAATCCCGAATTTCACAAACGGACCAAACACTTCAATGTCAAGTTCCATTATCAGCGGTCGGTGCTGAATGCAGGAGAAATTGACCTGCAGTATGTTCCCACTGAGGAGCAGGCCGCGGATGGTCTCACCAAGCCATTAGGGCCAACGTCCTTTGCCAAGTTCTGTAGTCTTTTGGGAATCGACGTATCCAAAACCTAAGGCAACAAGCATGACAGCGCAGGTGCTCTTTCCACTTTCTTTTCCCACGAAGGTTTTTTGAGTGGTTTTACCGAGGCCTGACTGCTCTGCTCAATTCCAGTATCGCCCTGCCAGCAGGACGATTCTGAGGGGGAATGTTGTGATATAAGGCTGGTGCAGATCAGGAACCAAGCCGTCCCATCGGAATTAATGCCGAAATATCTATATACAGAATCAAGTTGATTTCCAATCAACTTGTTCTTCTCGTTGTATATATAGCCTCATATTTCCCTCTGGATGACAATAACAATCAATCTTCCTTTGATTAACAACAACTCTGAGTCTCAGAGAATGGTGTCAAGCTGGAGAGGAGTGGTTTACCACTATTCCTCTCTAGGCCTAGTGTGAACAGCGCCCGCCCGCATTTTCCATGTATTCCCCCTGAGAAGTAGAGATAGTTCTTCAACCAGACATCAATTCCCAACTCTCTCTAATCGGACATCCTTGATACTAGCTCGTACGCAAATCCCTAAATGCGACAGAGCCCTATTCAGGGGAAATGAAAATGAGCTCTACTCAAGAGAAAAACGATCTTGAACAGGCTTCTCACTCAACAAATGAACGACCCGACTACCACATTATCTCGCGTTTCTTTATACCTTCAGAGTTCAATCTCACCTCTACTTTGGAACTACTGCTATCATATCAAACGGTTCTGCAAGCCGATATCAACCTAGCCCGGCTTTTTGAATTTCCGCTCGCTAGCGATCATAAAGCCGCCGGCCTTGCTTCACTTTTCACCTCAACTGAGCCATGCGTGTTGGGAATCGAAGAGATAAGTGACGCTTCTATAAGTTGGGCAGATGTCGTAAGATCTCCCTTATATGACGCCGAGCTACAGGGAAATGGCACATACCATGTTCGGATTCAGAAAGGAAACGCGCTGCTGGAGTTGTCGAAAGTGGACCACGACTTCATTGGTACGAAAATTCCTCGGCAGCTTGTAGATCCCCACTCATACTTGAGCGATTTGGTATCAGAGATCACTGCCACCCAGTCCACATTCGAGCACATTACGAGCTGGCAGGAGATAATTGTCCAATGTTTGTTCTCGTTCAAGGTCGCCTATTCCAAAGCATTTGAAAGCTAACGACATACATCTTACTGTAGTGTCTATCGCAGCCAAAGACCTTCTTGCAAACCTTACGGAAAGAGTTGAAATCCTTAAAGAAAAACACAGTGCCTTGGAGGCCCATACCGGCAATCAAAAGGACGGTACAAACGATGACAGAGACCGTCTTAAGGATCCCAGACATGAGCTCATTATTTCGACTTCATGCACAGGTCCGGAGTCCATCGATAAATCGGAATCGATGTCGAGAAGGCGACAACTACAATCCGCATCCCTGCATTCCCCACCCAAGAGTGGCTTCAAGCTCATACCACCGTAGCAGGCGTCAAGATCTGGGGCCATGATACATATGGATACATCTACAGCGATGAGATCAATGCTGCCTTCTCGTCTTTCTTGGACTACCCCGTCGCACTAGTCTACAAGGGTCCAGAGCCCCGCGTAGTTCAAGGCAACGGCTCACCAGACCGTGTAGGTCGTGTGCAAACGATCAATTTCCCAGACGAGTTTCCCGTACTCATTGCCTCGGATGCGCCGCTCAAAGAGTTGAACACACGCTTAATCAGTAATGGTGTGGATCCAATTACCATCGAGCGCTTTAGGCCTAATATCATCGTACGTGGTGAAAAGCCATGGATTGAAGACCTATGGAAACTGGTGCGGATTAAAGCTACCCCTTCGAAAGATTGGTGCGATGATGCTCCACAGGAGGTAGAACAGGAACCTCTGTTCATGGATATCGTGACACGGTGTGGAAGGTGTCAGGTTCCAAATGTTGATCCGGATTCGGCGGTTAAGCATAAGAAGCAGCCGTGGGATACGCTTGTTTCGTATCGGAGGGTTGACGCTGGGCTTAAGTATAAGCCTTGTTTTGGGATGATGGGTATGCCGCGCAAGGAAGGAGTTGTTGAGGTTGGGATGCGTTTTGAGGTTTTGGAGGAGACTACTGAGCATCGGTATATTATGTAGAATGCTTTACGCTTGTGAGAATAGAAAAGCCTTTGCGGATATTATGTGATAGCTAATTGTAGTTTCTGACGCAATGCTAATCTCATTTTATCATCCGACCCGTATTAGACATATTATTAGGCACATATTTGACTGTAGTGGTCCACTTTCCCGAATTTTCGACCCAAATGCAAATGCAAATCCAAGCTCCAACCTCACTCTAGAATCCTGCAAAGGATCCAAAGATGGTTGCAAAGCACTTCGTAGCTGCGATATTCTTTATCACCCGAAATACAAGTGCCCACCTCAACATCATGTCGAGTAAGATGGCAAGTCACATCGCTGTAAACGCGCACTGTTTTGTTTATTAGTTACGGAGACCATAATAATCCAAAACGAGATAAATTAACGACAAGAAACTCACATGTGCAGTTATTGATAGCATATTCGAAGCTAACAGACTTGACCGTACCGGCAGCATCAGGGAAAGTGTTGCATTTGTTGACGTAGTTCCCGTAGACGCCCAATTCGCCCATATTCTGCTCCAAGCACCTGGGCTCACCGAAAAGGCGAAACTGAGCATAACGGGTATTGGGGGGAGTAGCAGGAGATGGTGCGGCAGAGACGCCCACTGCAAGGGCGAGGACGGAGGCAATCAGAGTGGCGAACTGCATTTTGATGAAGCAAGAAGTGGAGGTTTGTTTTGAAATTCAGTCCAGTAAAAGAAAATGAGTTGTAGAGTTGATATGAAAAAGCGTTGATATTTGGGAATTCAGATGGTTTGTATACCTCTTCTTTGAGGCGTAGTGAAACATAGATCTTTGCCTCTTCATGGCCTATCTTGGCGTTGAAGGCCTGATTGGAGATAATGCGGGACTTGCCGTAGATCACTTGCTATGACCGACAACAGGATTGTACATCCCGTGAGCAAGAGGTATGTCTCACTACTCCGCTCGCCCTTAAGTACATTCCGCATGGTCCTAGACCGCCTATATGGATAATATGAATAGACACGAGAGTCCAAAAATTACTACATAGAAATGATATAGAAAGTGTAGCGATAATTGACTCGATCAGAAATGCGCACAGCCATATTTACTCTACTTTGCTTGCTGTATCTGGGTTCGTGTGAGCTGCCCCAGCTTTAGGTTTTCCCGTACTGTATTGGCATGGGGGGCGGTTCTATTTGTATCCTAGTGAATTCTCTTAGCTACAAATAACATGGGTTGACTTTGATTACGACTCATCTTAAGACAATACACCACCATGTAAGCAAATCCGAGTCATCTATACTATTTTTACATGAGAGAAGACAGGTTGCCGTGATCTGGGCCTCTCGGCTACGAGTTGTGTTCTCACCTGAGTTGGAGTGGGGAATGAGTAAGACTGAGCCTTACATTTGAACCACAACTCATGTTTTGAGTAAGCTTGAAGGTAGTATTAAGGTTGGTATAGTGATCAGGTTGTTCTAAATTGTTCCCTTTCGCTGTCTGATCGTATGAGAGGCAGGCATATTGATGCTACGTGTTCAATGCTTCGCTATCTTCCTATCAGCCTCGCCGACGTATACACATAGGCACATGAGAGACATACTTATGACAGACCAGCAAATAGACACATTAACTCTAAGGCTGAACTCTCAGGCTGGGCTCTAGTTCACCCTTTGCGACGGATGAGTCTGTCATAGGCGTCGAGGCATCTATCAGTGTGAGACCTATCACACAAAAACCAGTGGCACTATCTTTTGACCAGCCCTTATGCCACGGGGTATTGTTATTTCGATCGTACATATTATCCCCTCTGGTACTGCAAATAGGGACCGAAAGTATGCGCCTGCACCCGCGGCCATAACCAGCTTCTCGAAGATATAAGAACCATACGGAGCTAAGAAGAGAGATCCTCAGCCCAGAACCTTTGGTCCAATTTGTCAATAGCGATAATGTTCTTCTGTAGACCAATTTCTAATGTAACCTCAGCATACACTTTTGTCCCGTCAGTAATGCATTCTTCAGCCGCGGAAACGTCAATAATGTCAGCATCGGGCTGGATAGCGCTGTTGAGCGCGATATCCCTCAAGTACTCGGGGTTTGGAATATCTGATACATTTTCCATCATTCGGATCTCCTGGCAATGATAGCAAGACAACATAGCATAGATAGCCATAAGATACTTTGGCGTCTCGCACTTCCACGGGATTAGATCACGATCGGGATCGACATCCTGTGCCTTACTGAGTTCAAAAAGGATGAAGGCATATTTGTCTGAACTGGCGTTGATGTCGGTATTACCCTAGTAGTGCCCGGACCTTAGTTTTACTGCTTTTAGTTTAATACCTTGTTCTGTAAACTCCGCATTCTGTTCCTCCGGCATAAAAAGTTCGCCGTGCCTTTTTTATACCCTCTTCGTTTCTTCCTCTCTCTACCTTTCTCTATCAAGCACTGGCCTTTGGCTTTCACTTTACCGGAGATGCTGCTTGCTCTGCTGTTCTTGCTCTTTGGGCAGAATGGTAGTCGTATCACCAGTATGTAAGTTAGTGCCAATACTACTATACTCTTCCCAAAGAGCGTGGCTGTATATAAGGCTACGAAGATATCTAGACATCCGCTACTAGTGAGCCTTGTTTGTCTTTGATTCCGCTAGACTTAATCCCAGCTGAAAAGTTCTATTATGCCCTTTATGCTGTATACCCTGCTCCGTTTACCCTATACGAGGTTATATTGTAGAGTCCCAGCATCACAAATGGTTCTCGATTGCCTGGCACGAATAATATGATATCCAATTGTTATTATTGACGGCTTTTTTTGGTTTCTCTATATTCAATCGATATATTTCTGAAAACATAGCATGGCGATATAGGCTAATAATAGAAATACTGTACATAACCCTGACTTTGATCGATGCTGTATCTCGCTGCTACTCTTCGACTGTAACTACGGAAACCACACTAGGTTCATTACCTGATGGCCACTTGCGAGATGATACGATGGACTCCGGTCGATGGGGGTGACTGGAATGATGTCCAAAGGACGGTAGGTAGAGACACCCTCCGGCGCGCAAGCGGGGTGTATTAAGATTAATCTGGACAAAATCAAGCTTTTCAAAAACCAAATTAGCCGGCTATATACGCGACATTCTTAATAACAATCTTGAGTACCAGAAGAACTCCGCGCTAGGTGACTAGTCAAAGATGAAATATAACCAATGAATCACATCCCTAATCAGCTCCACTGTGGATGGGGGAGTTGGCTTCGACTGGCCACAAGCATATTCACCGTCGCAAATGTCGCACCGCCCATGATTTCCAAGACAGCAACATCTGCCATGAACTCTTTCGAAATCCAGTTGCATAGCTCTACGGCCAATAATGAATCTACCCGATACGTACTCAACGTAGCATCTTCGTCGACAGTTGTATCCTCTGGTATCAGTCGGTAGGAGTGGATCATCTTGTCAATTAGAGCCTGGCTGACTGTTTCTCGTCCTTCCTGTAAAGACGTTGTTTTTGAAAATAGACTTCTCACGCTGACCTCTCCTGTAGACTGACTAACATGTTCGAGAGATATCCGTTCGAGCTTGAGTCGAGATGAAATAGGCTTTTCGAGAAGGTCACCTATATCAGATCCACTGGAGGGCGAAGTGACCGGCAGCCCCAATAATATTTGTGCACATGTTGGAGTGGAAATTGCCCGGTCGGGATTGCAATACAAAGAGAGCAAGGCTAAGTAATGCGACCGTGATACCGGGGCGAAGGAGCTCTTCTTCATTACCTGATCGAGATATCCGTCTGTCTCCACCAGGATACCATCATCGACCATGATACCAAGATCCATCGAAATGACTTTCTTACCTTGAGCCACTTTATGGCGAGCAAAAGAATCCAAGTAGCTACATCCCGCAGAGTAATTGGATTGGCCTTGGTTGCCAAAAATCCCACTCAATGAAGAAAGGAGAATGAAGAAATCGAGATCCGAGGGGAGATTTCTTGTTAGATGCTTCGATCCCAGCCCCTTGCATTCCACCGCCGGTCGCCAATCATCATGGCTCATATCGCCAAAGAGGCCATTCCGGAGAACCATGGAGCCTTGTACGCAACCCCGAACCGGTGGCATATTCCCGGAGACTTCAGTCATTGCCTGGCGGACGGAAGCCGCGTCCATCAAGTCACAGGGTGGTGCATGAACTTTCACGCCCTTTTTCTGTAGTTCCTGAATAAGGTCCAGTGCTTTTTGTGTTTTAGGCCCCGAACGTCCTAGTAAAACCAGGTTGCGGGCGCCATGATCAGCCATCCATTGGGCCGTGACTCGACCTAACCCTCCCAGTCCACCAGCCAGGACGTACGTTGCATCAGATCTCAAGGTAAATGAAGTTCGGACCGCTAGGACTGTCGGAACTACAGCGTTCGCCGCCAAATCGATCACAAGCCGTCCAGTTGTAGTTCCATCTTGTATAGCCTGGAAGGTCTTTTCGATAGCAGCTGCATCTTGCACCTGAGAAAGCTTTCCAGGAGAAAGGTAACCAGCCTTAACAAGGGACAGAATGTTCTGGATCGCATGTTGGACCATATCAGGTCTCTCATTCATCCAGCTGACAATATCAAGACAAGTAAAAGACACCTGCCGGGCCGATTGAGACAGCAGGATGGGCGCGCTGGAGGGCGCTGAGCTCAGATGAATCAATTGACCATACCGCGAAATACAGTCGCAAGATAGGCGTTGGACGTCTCCGTCGATGAAATTTACAACCAAGTCTACTCCACGACCTTGCGTCGCTTTTCGGACCCCACGCGCGAAATAGGTATCTCGACTGCCAAAAATGCGGTCTGCAGGAATTCCATATCTCTCTATCAAAAGTCTTTTCTTCTCTGCGGTACTCACAGTTGTATACACTTTGGCACCAAAATATTTTGCAAGCTGAATTGCGGCTTGGCCACTCGCACCAGCACCGGCGTGAATGAGAACACTTTGGCCTCGTTGCAATCGGCCAACTTCAACTAGCGCATGCCACATAGTACCGAATGCCACAGGGATAACTGCGGCATCTGTGAAAGACAGCTCGTTTGGAAGACGGCATAATGTTTCTGACTTGACTCGGATTTTGGTTTGGAGTTTTCCAGAACCAAAGGCAAGGACACGGTCACCAACGGAGAAACCTGAGCTCTCGCCTGCCTGAACAATAATACCCGCTGATTCAAGACCAAGTGCTGTATTGGGAGCCCTGTCCAGGGCAATGGAGACGTCAGAAATGCTGGTGCCGGCGGCCTTATTGTCAACATATACCTCGTTAGCCAGGAGTGGGGAGCTACTGTCGTCAGCACTGTCGGTCCAGTGCAAAGAAGAAAGAAGACCCAGCGAGCCCACAGTAAGTTGCACTCGGCAAAGCCCCTGCAGTGGTTGATCGGCCAATTGATAAGGCTGGGAGGCGCTGTATAGCTCTTCAGTGACTTCGGGAGCTAACTGAAGACGTGGAACATGGAGCTGGCCCTGAATTTCGACAAATTCAGGCTCATATACAGGCCGAGACAGGTCAAGTAAAAATCTATCAATGATAGAAACAATGTGCTGTTCATGGCGAGCTTGAAATCCGTCGTCCATGTCGAGAGCTAAAGTACAGATCCGTCGGCTAGTCTTTTCACTTCGCAGACTGCGAGCCAAGCCATCCACAAGGCCATATTCTGGAGTAACTGACGCTTTGCCCCCTCCAGCTGTGACCCAGAGAATGGATTTACATTCACTAAGCAGGTGCTGAATGTGACCGAAAGTTCCACGACTCATACTACTCAAGATTGGGTTTTCCGTTTCGCCTAGAAATACAAGCGTCTCTCCTGCAATGTTCGCAATCGATCGCGAGTCTTCGAGGAGTCTGGTTGAGATTCTTGATTCTGGATACCGGAAGTGGAGGGCTTTGGTTGTTTGCGCAAGAAGATGCTCCTGTGCTGCCGAAGTGGGATCAACGATGAAGCAGAAAGAAGGTACAGGGGGTGCTGGATTGCCAGCTGTACCGACAATAATACAGGACTCTTGGCATTCGGAATTCTGATATTCAGGGAAGATGATTTCGACTCCCCGGAAACCAGTCTGTTGCAGCACAGTGTTCCACTCAGGTAGTGTGAGGGCTGGGCTCCACAATCTTCCTTCATCTACTCCGTTCCACCAACCTTGCATTAATCCAGCAATAAAACCTGGTCGGATGATTTCCGGACGAGTTACTTCGAACAGCATTAATTTCCCTTGAGGCTTCAACAGGGAGCGGACGTTTGTCATTGTCTGATTCATTGATGGCGTTGCATGGAGGGCATTTGCTGCGATGATCAAGTCATATGATTCGAGCTCAAATCCTTGATTAGCAGGATCTTGAGTGATGTCTAAAATTTGGAATTCCATGCGAGGGAACTGGTGAAAACGCTCCTCTGCTTTTTCAAAGAATGCAGCCGATATGTCTGTGTAGTGATAGCTTGCATACAAAGCATCTTTCTCTCGAAGACCAATATCTGTCGACATGGCTCTTAGCATCTGAATAGTGGTACCCCCTGTACCGGCGCCAACCTCCAGAATTCGCATTGTAGGGCTCTTGCGAGCCAAGGCTTGTAGATAACGCCCCCATGGGCCAAAACAACCAGGTCTGTTGTTGAGCTCGGTATATGTCTTCGACATGCGATCACCGGTAAAGATAAACTCTAGGGGGTCTTTCTCCCCTCGAAGAATACTAAGGAGATTATGTCCGGTGTGAACATACATTGCCCCCAAGTCATTTGCCGCAGAGATGCGGTTGCAGGCGGCTTCAAAGTAGGCTGTGTCATGTAGAAGATCTTTCCACTCGGGGCGAGCGTTGGGTAGTTCTCCAGATTGGAACTTTCTCTGCTGCAGTTGAGCCCACTCTATGTATCGTTGGATATGTGGAATGGTAGACCTGGGGCCCATCGGATTGGCAGACAATGAAGCGAGAGAATCGTCTAAAAATTTGTATTGGATGAAGTTTACATCACGGAAATATTGTATTGGCTCGGCTTCCTGAGGCCTTGCCGGGGCGCAATACAGGGCCAACTGTGCTGGATTCATTGACTCCACATCGGGCAGATATTCGATTTGATAAATCGGTAGTTCATTTGTTTCTTTCTGGTTTGAATTTTTGCCATCTGCCACAGTGGTGGTTTGAAGTCTTTGTACTTGAACCAAAATGCGGTTCCTTTGTTCATCTGTGGCACTAATGTCGAAATCATTCCCGCGGGAGTGCATTGTAATGACACTGGCTGAAGCTTGAACCTGTGTCGCTGAAGGCCCACTCAAGCCCTCCTTCGCAATCCATAGACGCCCAACTCCAGTAGGTAAAGCAGTTGACGCATTTGACCCACTGCTTCCAATCAAAGCAGCGCTGCTAAGTTGGAAAATCCCGTCAAGGGTGGTGGGATGGATGACGTGAGGCTGAGGGTATTGACTGGCTGGCCACTGGAATACCTGGACACTCGATATCGCCTGCCTCAAATTGCATTTGGGATCAAGTATTGTTTGGAAATTCGGACCAAATTCGTATCCATGGCGATGGAGAGTTGAGTACAAGGAGTCTGAAGCAAGTTCGCTGGTGCATCCACTAGCGATGTCATTGTGTGTTTCTAACCAGTCATCCAGTATTGCATCCGCCGGGCCGGTATAGTTCAGCTTAATGCGACCGTAACAGTTCTCGTTCCAGTTTTCGTTCTCATAGGAAAATAAACGAAACTCCATCCACGGTTCAGGAATGCCGTTCTCAGTCCTCGTTCGTAGCAGAAAGCTAGTCTCAATTCCATCGGCGTCTCGAGGGATCGTAAGTGCACGATGGAATGTCAAATCTTCCAGTTCAAACCCAGAGACGCAACGAGCGGGATCAGCCATCTGATGAGCAGCTTCAATGGCCATCACAACCATGCCAGCGGCAGGGTATAGTAGTACACCTTTCACGACATGGTCTTTCACCCAGGGCATATCTGTCAAACGAATATGATTGGTCCATCTTGCTTCGAGATGATTCCAATCTGCCACTGGTTTTCCTAAAAGATCAAGACGACCACCTCCAAGACGGATACGCTTGCTCAGTCGTCCTTCTCGCCAGTATGAAGTGGAGTGATTGAACTGGTAGGGTGGTAGGTCAACAAGCAGGTGATGTTCCTTTTTTTCAGAATCACAGATCTGATTCAATATGCCGAGGGCGACCGAAACACCTAGTGAATAAAGATTTCCAATAGCGCTCAAGAACGTATAGATTGCATGCTCTTGTCGACGAATAATTGGAAAATAATTTATGTCCTTGCCCCAGGTCAGTAGCTCCAACGTGTCTCGAACAGGTCCTTGCATCGCTGAATGGGGACCGATTTCAACTAAAATATTGACCCCTGGCCGACCCCGGTGACTGCAGTCTAACTTTTTGCGGATTTTGCTTCCAGGATCTGTACAGACACCAAAAATTGCCTTAGTAAATTGAACTGGAGAGACAAGATTAGCAACCCAATAGTCAGGCTTCGCTAATTCTGCTGCTTCAACGGTCTTCCCTGTAACAGAAGAGACCATTGTTATATCCGAGAATGGCTTGGAAACTAGTTCGCCGTCAAGTCCCTTGAGGTGTCGTCGATAAACTTCGGAAATTTGGTTCATTTGAGCCGAATGATATCCCACAGGCACCCGCAGCTTGCGCGAAAAGACTTTGTCCGCATCGAAGAGAGCCTGCAGTCGATCCACTTGGTTTGCATATCCTGAAATAGTGACACTCTTTGGACTATTGACGCAAGCAATGCCAAGGATCTGAGACGTCTCTGTCTTGATGACACGGTCGACATAAACTTGAGCTTGCGCATCAGAAAGTCCCACAGCAAGCATTGCCCCGGGCTGGGAACTTGCTTTTGCCAGCTCTCTGGCACAAAGACCTCGAAAATAGGCAATCCTCATGGAATCAGACAGGGAGATAGCTTTGACTGTATATGCGGCGGCGATCTCTCCAGAAGAGTGCCCAATAACCGCGGCTGGGTGCACATTGAGCTCATCTAGCAGATCAACCAGAGCAATTTGCAACGCGGTGTTAGCTGGCTGAGCTATTTCAGGTTCATTTATGCGGCTTTCATTTTGGGGTTGAAGTAGTTCAGTTACCAAAGACCACTGACAGCCGAAAGACTCCAGCGCCTGCTGACATCTCCCAATACTTGCCCGATATCCTGGATACCGCAGCAGCTCTCGCCCCATTTCCGCCCATTGAGCTCCTTGGCCTGTGAATACGAATCCCAAAACCGGTGATTGCTGATTATTAGAGGCGGTGGATATCTTCTGGTCCATATTGTATAGATCTTCCGGGCTGGACGCAAGCCAGAAGCTCTTGTAAGACATGACAGTTCGACGTGTATTCAATGTGTGAGCCAGATCATTGATGAACTGTTGAAAATTATCTTCCGGGAAAGACAAACTGTCAAAATATGCTTTGTAGGCTCGTACCATATCCTTGAAACCTGCCTTGGTTGTCGCAGAGATTGTAAGTAGCTTTGGGATGGAAAGAATACGACTCTGCTTGCTCAATGAAACACTATATTGCTTTGGCTGCATCGATTTGCTTTCGACGGTAAGATGATTTCCTTTCAGTCCACGCTCACAGAGATAGTTGTAGGCATCATCAAGAATCGCATGGGCGTTTGATCCTCCTACGCCAAAGGAATTAACCGACGCCCTTCGCAGACCCGGTGTTGGCCATGCCATAGCCTCCAACGGAAGGCAGAGGTTATGTAGCTGCAAGTCGATCCGCGGGTTTGGCTTCTCGAAGTTTGTGTTTGGAGGAATTATCCCCTTTTCCAGGACCATGATAGTCTTGATAAGAGCAGCTATGCCACTAGCACCCTCAAGGTGACCAATGTTTGATTTAACTGATCCGACAATTAGGGGATCAGTAGGAGACCGAACGCCTCGGAAGGCCTCCCCAATAGCATCACACTCGATTGGGTCACCCACGGGAGTTCCTGTTCCATGGGCCTCAAAGAAGCGACAAGGCTCAAGGCTCAGTCCAGCTTTCTCATAAGTTCGTCGGATGAGTTCTGTCTGAGAAGCACCGTTAGGTTGCATAATGCCCGATGCAGTCAAGCCATCTTGGTTGGAACCAGTAGCCCGAATTACGGCTCGGACGGTATCGCCATCGCGAAGAGCGTCTTGAAGACGTTTAAGTACCACGACTCCTGTCCCTTCACCTCGACTGAAGCCGTTGGCTCGATGATCAAAACTGTAACTTATCGAATCAGGGGAAAGCATATTGACGTTTGATTCAACCTGCACCATATCTGGGGATAAGAGAAGATTGGTCCCGGCCGCAATTCCCATGTCAGCCTCTCCGTTCACCAATCCTTGACAAGCCATATCCAGGGCTACTAAGCTGCTTGAGCAAGCTGTGTCGATATTCACACTGGCCCCTCGCCAGTCAAAGAACCAGCTCACACGATTCGCAGTCATGCACATGCTTATGCCAAGTACGTCATAATCAGTTGTATTTTCGATTTCTTTGAGACGCATGAGCCGATAATCACTGCCAAAGCATCCCACGTGCACTGATGTTTGTGATCCGGCCATTTTGTCCATTGGAATCCCCGCTACAGATATCATCAGCGCTAGTCTAAGCCGCGTAGCAACATTGAGAAGACTGCTTACCATTTTCTAACGCCATATAAGTTACTTCCAACATATGCCTTTGTTGCGGATCGAGAGCCGCTGCCTCATCACCTGACAGAGAGAAGAAAGCAGCATCAAATAATGATACATCTTCTTCTAAGAAGCATGCACCGCGTGATGTCACCTGGCCTCGACGGTATTTGTCCGGATGGTACCATCCAGATACATTCATGCGGTCGGCAGGCCACTCAGTCATGGCACATCTTTTTTCCACGAGTAATTTCCAGAATTGCTCATCATTTACTGCTTCTGCTGGAAATCGATATGAATATCCAACAATCGCAATATCTCTATCTGTCTTGTTGTTGGTTGTATTGCCGCTTTTTTCGGAAGGGATATCTTCCTCGCACATGAAAGGAGCCATAGCGTAATATGTGGTAAATGGTAAGAGGGGTGAGGAGGATCCGTGAAGACAATAGGTATAAAGCTTATAACCTCGTGATAGATAAATAAAAGGTCACCGATAAAAGGATCCTTCACTTCAGGTTAGATTTGAGATAGGGTGATAGTCACGGCACTAGCATAGAGTGACTGACGACTACCTATTCAGGTATCTTTCAGGGTTGGACATTATGTACATACCCAGTATTTTTATTTATTGATGACATTGTCTATGACATATGGTCACAATGGGCCTGAAGCTGCCGGCCTGAAGCTGCCGGCCTGAAGCTGCCGGCCTGAAGCTGCCGGCCTGAACCTGCTGGCCTGAACCTGCCGGTCTGAATTAAAGTTGAAGAAATCAGGCCCCCCATTACATGACTTGGTAATCAGCCAATTATGCCAAGAAAACTGGTGGGTAGGATCTGGCTTTAGAGAGAGCCGTCTCTTGAACATACGTAAACTACGAGTCTCGTTCTTTGGAAACGTCCATGGATATGATAATTCATCCCAAGGTTTCCTTAAGTGATATATATGAGGTAAGGCAACATTACCGAAGCGCACATGTGCTGCATTTTGCTATGACGTGGAGCTCTTTGCTGTATACTACTGGCTTATACGCTAGTAATTGGTTTTGGGAGCTCGCAAAAATTGCACGGACGTCGGTAATCAGGCGCCCTAGACACGGAATGCGTGAAAAAGTCTAATTCCGTTTATTTCCAGGTGATGCATGTCTTTTCAGTGCCACCGCCGATATGAAAGATGCAGCCCACATCGGCGTACTCGGCCGCGCATCATTCCAAATTTGGCTCTGCCGACCCACATGCCAGCTCGCTTTATTGAAAAAGTAGGGGAGATCTGGAGCATGTTTATCTACTGTACTGCTTCTGTATATTCCAATATTCCTTTGACAGGGAAACTGACAGGATCAATAGAACTTTAAAGTCTCAAACTACAGGTTGATCGCTTTCAACAACTTACATCATGCAGTCTGAGGAATATGGGGCTCAGCAACTAGGAGGGCATGTGTTAATGGAGTGCTAGTTGGGCGCCTTACGGCCCCCAACTAACCGGCCCCACAATTTTTCTTTCACAAAAATAATGAACCCTCGCTTACGAGGGTCCGCCACCCATATGGAACAGATCACCCATATGGAACATTTTTGCTAAATCGTACTACAACTACTATTTACCACACCACCATATAGTTAATTAATTAACTAAAAATAATAAACAAATCAATCAGCCATTTTAATATTAGAATACAAAATCAAGTTAATTTCCCCGGCGTTTTTTGGCTCTTCCATGCTTCCTAATTTCAACCAATATCTTCTTCCACTTCCGCTTCGTCTTTTCTTGATCGGCTTTTTCAGTCAATTTATATTCTTTTAGCTTCATTTCTTTGATCTGGCTTGAATTGATAATACCAGTGATTTGCGTATAACGGCGAGAAGCATCATATCTAGCGTGACGTGCTCCCATAATAGCTTGTGTAGAATCGAATTCCCGTTGCAGTTGGACAGCCAACATTGCCTGAGTCTCAGCACCCTTTACAAGCTTTGCTAGCCCTTCTTTAAAACGTTGAGTAGTAGGATCATATTGATTAATACGATCGCTAATTCTTCGAACTCTCTCAGCGGTTTTTGGGGTGCTAAACTCAGTATTTTGTGAGTTAACTGATGGTGTATCTTCCCGGGATATATTATCATAATATGGATCGTACGAATCCAATTCATCGGTAATAAGCTTAGAATTAATTGGCCAAAGGCCAGTTAATCTAAACCCAAGCTTGATTGTATGTGGCCGGAAGGTTTTGCGTCTGATTTCACTGATTGAATGTAGGAATTCATCCTTTGAAAATTTACGGCATCCAGTCATTGTAGCCGCCTCAACTGCCTCACTATGCCAGTGTTTATATACACTAAACACTCCAACATCGAGAGGTTGTAGTATATGGCTAGTATGTGAGAGTAAGAAGAATAGAATGATATCATTCTTCTCACAAAATTCAACAAATTGACGCGTTAAATGTGATCCAAAACGATCGCATAAAACTAGCCTCTTTTTCCCAATGGTACGAGAAATTGTCCATTTATGAAACAGCTGAATCCATTGATATGCTAATGTATCATTGATATAGCCAGTATCAGTTATAGCAAGATGCTCGTCGTCTTCAATTTTATCAAACCAACGTAGTAATGCTTGTTTAGCGCTTAGAATAATCAGCGGTGGGCATGTAAAGCCATCAGCCGAAACAGCCTCTAAAACAGTGACAGACTCGCGATTGGTAACTGAGCCATTAAATAGCTTCTTTTTTGGATGTCTTGTGATAATAAATTGATCGCGACCGACGCCAATTTGGAAGCCAGTTTCGTCAAAATTGTAGATATCTTGTTGACAGATGCCATATTTAGCCACTATACGTTGATAGTCTTGAAACCATCTCTCTATAACGGATTTATCCAGTGCAGTAGCTCTTTCAACATCAAGAGCTCGCCGACGTCGTATATAGTACTCAGGATACCGTTTAAGAAAACGCTTTAGCCAATGGTCGCCAATTTGTGGGGGATCTGTGGTGGTGTCGGTATGATCTTCTTCCAGAATTGAATCGGCAGCAATAGCAATTTGACGGCGATTTATTGATGCTCCGACCGCATCAAAATAATCAATATATTCACATAAAGCCTTCTCCTGTGCAATACTAAGCTTCCGGCCATTAGGTTGTCGTTGGAAAAGCGATTTTCCACCTTGCCAGCGCCGACGAAGACGGCCTTCAGGAACCGCGAATTCTCGCGCAGTCTTCCTAATATTAGGCTTAGATTGCTCAGAGAGAGACTCTATTGCCAGCTGAATCTGGTTCTCTATATCTTTATTGGTTTTAGGCATTGTTGGTGGTGTGGTAGATGATAATAGTGGTTGTGGTAAGATTTAGAAAAAATGTTCCATATGGGTGATCTGTTCCATATGGGTGGCGGACCCTCGTAAGCGAGGGTTCATTATTTTTGTGAAAGAAAAATTGTGGGGCCGGTTAGTTCGTACACGCGGGAATACCCGCATCTTAATGTAACATGTTGGCCGCCATTGGCACAATTTGAGCACAGACCCTATTTTGGTTATCTTCAAATTTTAGTGGTTTGGTTAAGATCTCGTTTCGTGAAATTTTTCACTAAGGTGAATAAATATTGTAAATTTAATGCTGACGGTAACTTCTTATGGAATAACCCGAAGATCGACCAATGGGCTTCTACAGCGTACGGACGGGATTGATACTTGAATGAGCTTTTTTTTATATTAATGTAGCGGTGAAAGGATTTATATCGCGAGTATGATTCAATTGTTTGCATCAAGTGGCGGTTCTACACGAGGCAAGCTTTGGGGACGAACAAAAAAATGCGCAAAAAATTTCAATGCATCAACAAGCTCTTTACTATGCTAAAGCTGCTTTACCCACCGTTCGGCGAATGGCCCGAACGCTTCCAAGCAACGCCTCTTTGGCTCGTGCTCCAGGCACTGCATGTCCTTCGTCGTGCAAAAAGATGGACCTCTCTTGTGGATCGCACAGTGTAGATAGGCGCTCGCTTCGGTCCGCCCATAAAGGATCATTTCGTCCCCAAATGTGGGCCGTGGGTAGCCCAGGTAGAAAGTACTGATCGGGCAATGGTTCAAGGAGCGTGATTTTGCCCGTCATCAAAGCAGTGGGATCGAGAGCGGCGGCGGCTGAGAAAAAAATTGCGCATTTGAACGGTAAGGCCTTGGTGAGATGCAGTTTTGTTTCTCGGATCAGATAGGTGGATGCAAGGAGTGCCCCAATGGAAAACCCAATCACCCCATCGTAAGGACCCTCTAATTCCAAAAACCGGCCAAAGTCATCAAGCGCTTTATTTATGCTTTCCACCGAGTCATGATCGAAATAATCAAAGTACATTCCTTCTTGAGGGGAGATACCTACAAGTTCTATGCCCTCCAATTTTTTCTCTTGTTAATCCACCCAAGTTGTAGTTGAGAAGGGACAAGGGGAGTACCGCTTACCCGGGGCAAGGGGAGAAGGAACAGTCCCCTCCACAAAGTCATATGTGTGATTATCACCAAGTTCATGCCGCAGCGCGGTCAGTTGGGTCTCCAAGATTTGGGTGTTTGTTCCCATTCCATGACAACACAAAAATCGCATGATCGACAACCCGCAGCTAGCAAACTAGGTAGTGACGAGAGAAGTATGACTTAAAATGGGAATCTTTTCAAAGATAATCATGACGGGGCGCGCGGGGTACTTTTATATACAAATTTAAAGTTCGGCATATGTATTGTCTTCAGCGAGAACCTTGGGATCCCTGAATATATCTTTGGAAAATGCTACCATTGCCTGGTGTCCGACCCCACCACTATGTAGTCTGACTCGACTGCGTGATGTGATTCGTCCACGCGCCACTGAATCATTCACCAACATTAAGGCGTCCTATCAGTCATTCTTGAGATGGCAGGCAGCAATGAATACTCGGAGGCACACCTCCGGTAGAACAAGCAGTCAGAAGTTGTGGGCGTTGTCATTTTCTATATCGTTTTAGAGGTAATTACCCTTTTCTTCAGACAGCTTTCCAAGCAAATTGGGGGAGTGTGCTACAGATTGGATGATGCTCTGATCTTTCTGGGGTTCTGTCTCGGCACGGCCGTTAATGGCACCTCGTTAGGTATGGTAGTCCCCTCGTCTTCAATGAGTTTAAACTAATGAAAAATATAGCTGATGTCTACGATGGTGGTGTCGGCCTTCATGAAGCACGGCTTGAACAAGAGTCTCCACACAAGATAGTTGTATGGGGTCACTTCGTCATTATCATTCCCCTCCTCTATGTTCAAGCAATTGTCCCGGCCAAGCTTGCTGTGTTGCATCTTTATCTCAACATCTTCACGGACAAAAGGCTTTGCATAGGCACCTATATCACGAGAGCTATCATACTGGGCACCTGGATCTCTTGCACCGTCGCTGGACTTCTCACTTGCCGACCTTTGAGCTATTTCTGGGCCCAAAAGGAAACCTGCTCTAATGTCAATGCCTATTTTCGCTCGAGTGGCCTTCCTAATATTGTGACGAATGTTGCAATCCTCGTCTTACACTTCCGATGGTATATTACCTCCAGACTTCCTTGCGAATGAAAGTTGGTATTGCGATAACTTGCGCTCGGCGGTGCTGGCGGTGTTGGTTTGATTGCTTCTATTTTCCGATTATATTTCTTCTTGATAGACGATATGATCGGACTGAAGGGAGTATCCATGTAGAACGCAACTTTACTGTCAACTGAGTGAGGGGGTTCTGTTTTAAGATGTTTCAAGATTGATTGATCACCTTGAATGCTCGTTTCCTCGTTTGAAAACGTTTCAAAGCTCGACCTTCACGATTCCAATGTACTACTTATGAGAAAATCATCAGTATAAATAATATTTTTCATCATTCTTTTCCAGCAACGTTGAATGCCAGGCCTATGTTAGCTGCCAGGCCGCCTGTATACGTGCGCCCTCCAAAATTCTTGCGCGCAGTTGAAGGTGATTTGCACCACATGAGATTGACTTGATTCAAGCCCAAATGTCTGTTTCACATAGTCACATGCTTAAAGTATGCAGTTTCTCTAAGTTTAAAATTAGTCAATACTGTATGGTCATGATTAACGTTGCTTCATTCAGGAATAAACGACATTCTGTCATACCTACGAGGCACTATACGCAAATACACACAAAATAGATATGCATACATGGCAAGACACATTAAATCCAAGGTCAGTGTGAGCGGCGCATCCCGGAGATTCTTAGCTGCTTGTCCGGCCTTACATATTTGGCCCCCATGTACAATGTGGGGTGGGACTGAAAAACCTTTGCAAAATGTGGCGCCTTACATCGTCAGGCGAGACAACATTTCCACCTAAGAAAGATGTTGCTGATTTTTTTCCTTTTCCTTTTTTTCCTTCTTTCGATTTGATTTTCTTTGTCTCGTTCTCCGAGTTTGACATATCCCGGTCAACCCCCTCAATGACCCCTCCCCACCCCAGTAAACCCTTATAAATGAAGACACCCTCACAATTGAGCGGGAAAATATAATTCTTCCATACTTAAATTCTTAAGTCCCTTTTTAACCGGAGACTAAATTTCATCATGAAGCTTCCGTTCGATGGAGACTTAGATCCTCGGACTCAACTTCTTCCAAATCTGATTGATCATTATGCCAAGACTAAGTCTGATGCTATCTACGCTGAATACCCCATTAATCCTACGGCATACGATGAAGGATACAGACAAGTCACTTATAAAGCATTTGCAAATGCAATAAATGGCCTCGCACAGTTCCTGGTCGAGACCTTGGGGCCCGGCAACGGAGAAGTGTTGGCATATGTAGGCCCAAACGATATGCGATACCCCGGTTTGGTTTTAGGTGCTCTCAAAGCTGGTTACTGTGTATGAAATCCCCTTGAAGGAGAAGAAATCCAGAACAAGAAAGACGATAAATTAAAATCAGAGCTGATGGCGATAGATGTTCATGACCTCTCCCCGAAATAGTATTGAGGCCCATCGGTCTCTATTGCAAGATCTGGACTGCAACACGCTGTTGACGCCTGTACCGCGGCCGCCCTTCATTGAGGCTATCCAAGAAGCTCACTCACTGAAGACTCTGGAAATTCCAAGTGTTGAAACCCTTCTGACAACTGAGTATCCTCACATTGAGTATTCCAAGACTGTTTCAGAGAATATCCACGAGAAATTTGCCGTCGTTCATACCTCAGGATCTACGGGTATCCCCAAGCCTATTATCTGGAAACATGAAAGTGCTGTAAGGAACATGAATATGCAGTTTCTTCAGCCGCCCGAAGGCTGTGAAGGGCAAGAATCGAAATTCTTTGGAAAAAGAATGTTTTTGATGTTGCCTCCGTTCCATGTGAGCTGAACCCTAACGAGGTGATATATGTAAGGAAGTGCTGCTAACGCTCCATTAGGCCGGTGGACTAGCGTTCATGCTCCTCCTCAATGTGCCTGCGGCAGTGACCATCGTCATTCCAACCTCTGGCGGGCTACCTAGTCTAGTCTCGCTGTTGTCTGCAAGAGAGCAAACTTCATTTAACTGCGCCCTTGTCCCGCCAACAATAATTGGAGAGTTGGCGCAAGACCCTAAGGCACTTGAATATTGTGCTACTCACTTAGAACATATAACGTATGTTGGAGGCGATGTTCCGCAGCTCATGGGAAATACAGTTGCTGCCAAACTTCCCCTGATGAACGGTTATGGCGCTTCGGAAACAGGACTTTTGAATTTTATTCACTCGCCAAGTCGAGATCCCTATATTGACTGGCGTTATCTTCATTTTCATCCAGATTTGGGGGTGGAGATGCAGCACGTCGCCGGGGATGAGTATGAGGCAGTAATTGTGCGTTCACCAAAGCTTGAGGCTCAACAACTTCCTTTCGTTCTTTTTCCGCATCTCGAAGAATACCATACCAAGGATCTTATGGTTCGTCACCCAACGAAGCCTGAGCTTTGGCGTCCATGTGCGCGTCGTGATGATGTAATTGTTTTCCTTAACGGAGAGAAGACCAATCCTGTCTCTATGGAGCATCATATCGTGTCTGTCAACCCAGAGATATCTGGCTGTTTAGTAGTTGGAGCTCAACGCTTTCAGGCTGCCCTTCTGGTCGAGCTTGGTGGGAAGCCTCTCAGCGCGAATGTCAGTGCTGTGATAATTGATCAGCTGTGGCCTAGTATTGAAGAGGCCAATAGTGTATGTCCTGCCCATGCACGAATTGCTAAGAGCCATATCCTTTTCACTTCCCCTGAAAAGCCGATGCCTCGATCGGGCAAGGGAACTGTACAACGTGCTATGACACTGAAACTTTACGAACAAGAGATTGAGGATATATACCAAGATGCGGATAGACTCACTCAGCTTGATAAGACTCAGCTGCCTGGCCCGGGAGGAGTGGACAATGCCACAAAGGTCGCCGAGTATATCAGAGCTACTATTCTGGCTGCTACAGGATGGGATGCGGAGAAGCTGACCGACGAAGAGAACTGGTTTAATCTTGGTCTTGATTCTCTGCAGACAATAACAGCTACCCGTATCCTTAGGCAGGGTCTCAACATTTCATCCCTTTCCCCGAACGTGATTTACTTGAATCCGACTGTTGCAGGGTTGACCCATGCGTTGCAAAAGCTCAACCAAAACAGCGAAGAGTCCGCTGAAGCTACCAAGCAAAGGCGACTTCAGGAAAGAGATCAGCTATTACAAGAGCTTACTGCGAAGATTAATGTTCCAGCCCAAAGGTCTTCCAATAAATCCCCAGTGAAACATACAGTTATTTTGACCGGGTCCACAGGCCAGCTGGGCACGTACCTTCTCGATTATCTGCTGAAGAGCTCGCAAGTAGAGCATGTATTCTGCTTGGACCGAGATGAAAGCGCTCGTGACCGACAGCGGGAACGTAGAGTTCTTTATGGGCTAGCCCCAGTCCACGAAACACGAGCTACCTTTTGGAAATCTGATCTCAATCAGACAGATTTGGGACTACAAAGCGACCAACTTGAGGAGCTACAACAGACGGCGACCTTAGTCATTCACAATGCCTGGACTGTTAATTTCAACCTCTCCTTAGCCTCTTTCAAACAACAACTGGAAGGTGTAGTGAACCTCATCAACTTTTCTGGTCAAGCTATCTTCTCGCCAGGAATATTTTTTATTTCTTCAATTAGCTCGGTCATTGGTGGCACTGACACCGGTCTCATCCCCGAGGCGCTCGTAACTGCCGCAGATCCAGCTCCGAATGGCTACGCCACCAGTAAGTATATTGCCGAGCATGTCTTAGGATATGCCGCCCAGCACGGTCTTGTTCACTCTGCCTTCGCTCGTGTGGGTCAGGTTTCCGGCCCTATTCGCTCTCCTGGCTTATGGAATAAGTCGGAGTGGTTCCCTAGTATTGCTTTGAGCTCACTCCACTTGGGAGCTCTCCCAGATGAACTTGGACCAACCCTCAACCGCATCGACTGGGTACCTATTGATCTTCTCTCTGATATCCTGGTCGATTTGTCTCTTCTCAATCGTTCCGAACTGAGTGTCTATCACCCAGTGAACCTGCACCCCAAGTGCTGGGAGGATGTTCGACCTGCTGTTGCCGATGCCCTTCAGAAAACCGCTGGGAAGACTGTGGATACTATTCCCTTGCGAAATTGGGTGTTGCGCATTCGACAGGATATTGAGCTAGCTAGTCAGAGCGACAAGGGACTTGATGAGAAGAATCTTCAGCTTCATCTCTCCAAAAATCCAGCTGCTAAACTCTTGGGATTCTTTGAGGCTCTGGTGGCCCAGACAGCACCTGACAATATACTAGACACTCAGAAGACGGCTCATGTCAGCGAAAAATTACGTGAGGTTGGTGCTATCAAGCCGGAGTGGATCCAGAAATGGGTTAAGGAATGGTTGCTGTAAACTGAGTCTCTGCCTTGACATTCAACGTTGAAACAGTCAACATGGAGACATTACCCATAAGGTACTGACTCTGCGAATGGGCTATCCCTGTTTGGAACAATCAGATATTTTTAAACGGAATTTTTTCCTCATTTTGTCGTCTTTGAATAGCTCTTTTGAAATATTGTTCTAGGACCTAAATTTGACCGTTTCTTGTGATAAGGGCCTACGAAGACTAAATCAAGAGTTTAATATACGACACAAATCAATAGAGTTAGGAAGTAGGAGTGATAAAAAATCGCTTTTTGAAACCAGTAACCCGATGTATTCCCTGAGCTTGCTCCCTTTCTGTATTGCAACTCTAGTCCGGTACCCCGGACTCCGCGCAGCTAGTATTTGGACTGCCAACCTGATGGACTGTGCACATCGCAATTAGAGATATCTATACCTACTCTCGCTAGTAGTCATCGACAACAGCGATACTTTGTTAAAATATTGGATTTGAAATTAGAGATAGTTATCCAAAACTAAAGAGATATTCTGGCCTGGCTCGAGTTTCTTTGTAAAGAATAGAATCGGTCCAGTATTGGTACTCCTTACCCTAAACCGGCCGAACTAATATATATAATAATTAGAAAAGCCAAGATAAACGACCAGAAGTAGAATTTGGAAATACAGGCACCAAGGTTTGCGAGGTCGCTTTAGGGTTTAGAGATTGGAGATAAAAAGAGAATAGGGAAGATATAAGGATATCTAGAGAGGGGGGAGAAGAAGAAGTTTCTTATAAGTGCCCGGCCGTGCAGGGCGAAGAAAGAGAGCGTCTGAATCAGTCTGCAAAAAGGAGCCATTTTCGACGTCATTTTGGTCGCAGGTAGGAGCCTCAGAAGACAAGTTGAACAAGTGCCAAATATTAGGGTCTGCAGGATAATAACTAACATAGCTAGTGTAGTGGGGAAACGCGTCCTCCAATAAGCATGTGCATAATGCAGCGATGAGCTAGAAGCTCTCCTATAGAAAAGAAAAGCTTGAATATTAGGGAGCTTGCTGGGATAGCCTCAATAGCACACTCCTACACCTCTGTCATGCTTCCTATTGATGCCACTACGTGGTAGTTGGTGATATAAGGTCCATCTGGGTGCGGCTTTCTTTGCTAGTTGGACCTCCACGGTTTGATCGTGCTGCCATAGAGCGTTCCCCGTCTCACTAGACAGGTGCAAAATAGTGGCGATAAGCTGGGGGCGGTAAAATGGGTAGCTCGCCGTTCATAGTAACAGGTAGAGAGGCAGCCGTTATTAGCGTCAAAAGCTGTCATTTTCGGCGTCGATTTTACAGGTCCTCATATTCTATGTAATAATGATCCCCCCTAGGTTCGTGAAAGAGAATTTACACAATATGAATAGAAGGCTCATTTACCCATGTCGTTCTAGCATACAAACTGTTCAATGGTATATGGTAAACCTTAAATTTCCGATCCGTTTATTGGTGACCTCACGCAGTCAAGGTGGAAAGGATAGAGATTATGGTTTGGCCGTAACGGGTCACCTGGCGCTGCGGTCGTAGACCAGAAGCGTCAGATGGGGCCGTCCGCGCTCCCTTCACAGGGAGGCAATGTGTCTGTATTGTAGTGGCTTCTATATACAGAGGGAAGGTGGGAGGGGCAAAAGTGAGTCTTGACTACGTGAGAGATGAAGGGCTAGCTACGGAGGCAAGAAGCTGACTTCCATGAGGCAGCTGTGAGAGGGGTAAGAAGCCCTCAGTAATGTCGGTGTAGATATCACGTGCGGCAACCCCAATAAAACTACTCTCTTTATAATCCAATAAACAGGGCAGAACTGTGTTTATTAGGAAAATGAGTGGAACGAGGATGAAAATTCGTACTTTGTAATCAGGAATTTCGATGTAAACAGACCACATACAAGAATTAGAATGATATATTTCCAGGTCCAAGATTTGGAAAACCCGACAGGGGGTTCAACTGAAGTTGCCGAGTTGAACCCCAAAAGCCACCATGATTGGTCAGTCGGCCATCCGGAAGTGATTGCTACCGCCTTCTTGAACCACGTCAACAAAGCCTGGCCCGCCAACCGCCACCGTCAGACCAGGGTAGCTGACTGCGTACGCATTCGAAACGCTCATCCAGGGGTGTTGCCTCGCCTTTCACAACTCAATGAACAATCTCAGGACCCCAATACCCAAGACTCGACCAGCTCGACCTTCAATCGCAAAATTTCCCTAGATCCACTCGGAAGATGGCTCCGAAGCTGTCGGCATATCCAATTCCTGCATCCAAATGCGTTCCGCCCTGTCCTCCTCCACCCTTGATGCGTCCAAGGCTGCCCAGAGAGCCAATGCAGCCCGGCACAAGCGTGCATTGACTGGGATGAATTGGTCGGAATGGAAATGCTCTTCCAATACAAGCTTTTGTGTGATGTCAACCACGGCTGTTGCTAGATGGCAAAAATTCGCGCAACAGGTGCGGAAGAACTCATATTCGTGAGCTTGCTGATCACGCTGCCTCCGCTTCTCAGTGATTGGGTCTAGTGGGGATTGTGCCACGCTCTTTGCTGTACTAAGGTGTGTCTTTGTCGTCTCTAATGCCATGGTCGTTCTCCCCGCCACAAAGATCCGATGGTCCAGTGGTGTAATCTCGGGAAGATCATCCCGGGGGGCAGGCAAAGCCGTCGAGGAGTGTGATCTTGGTGTATCTGGCGAGCGACTGTATATACTCGATGCATTAGACGGAGGGCGGGCCATCAGTGAAGCTAGAACAAAGGCTTCTATCCGGCGCTTTGGGATCTTGTTTCGCGGCCGATCACGCTCATGTCACGCTCAAATAGCAGAGAACAATGGAGCCTTGTGACAGCAAGTGCCATGGTATTATACTCAAGTATTGTGTCCTTGAACCGGAGAAATCAGTGATTGAGCGGACCGCACTTTCCAGTGGACTGTTGGCTAACGTCTGTGCTCGCTGAGCTGAGCTACATAGCAATGACCGAGTCATCTGACTCTAAGATGGGGGGTATAGCAGTCTGGCAAAGTAACTTTACTAAAAGTTTCTAGTTCTCCCCACTCAATTTTGGCAAAGATCGACCGATGGTCAGCCTAACTTTTGTATTGTCTGCCGCACAAACGCACTGCGTAACAGATTCATCGACCGAACATGTTTGTATACTATCGCCAAGCGGAAAGCGCAGTAACCGTACGCATCTTTCACTTTAAGATCAATCTGCGGGTGCCGTAACAGCCGTTCAACACATGCAGTATACCCGCTTGCAGGAGAAAACATGAGGGCCGTGAAGCCCCAGGGCCCAACCTCATTCAATGCGATTTCACCTTGCGAGAGAAGAAGAGACACATCATCTAAGTGTTGATGACAGCTACGTGAAGGGGCGAAGTTCCAGAGGGGGCTTTTACGTTGATCTGAATGGACCTCTGGGTCAACAAGTTCTGGACTGCCCCGAGCGAACCCGCCCGACACGCGGCCCACAGCGGGGAAACCAAGCTCGACGTGGCATTGATACATATTTCCGGCTGTCTCAGAAGCATCTGTAGCAAGCGAGGGCTTTGATGCTCCACTGCTCGCGCAAGAGGGGTAAGACCCCCATCATCCGCGTCATTCAAACGGAGGCCATCCTGGTCCAAGAGCAGTTGCACTAGCTCCTCATTCTGCAGGTCCACCGCGTGCCACAGCGCCGTGCGCCCTCTAGAATCCTGGTGATTGATGTCAAGCTTTGGGTTGAGCAGTAGGGCCTCCACTATCCCACGCGCCGACCTCCTCCTGAGGATTTTGACCGCGAGAAGTAGTGCCGTATTTCGGTGGGTGCCGCACCAATTGACATCCAAGCGAGGGTCTCGGGCTAGGATCTGCACTGAGATATGGTCTTCTTTTCGGACTGCGAGGTGTAGCGCGTTCTGCCCAAAGCGATCTTCGATGCTGACGTTCACGCGTGGATCGGTCAGAAGATGGCTTAGAATGGCGTGTTCCACTGCGTACATCAAAGCGGACCTGCCATCGGTGCATCGGTCATTGACATCCAGCGCTGGGTACTGCAACAGGCAATCAACGATGGCGAAACTGCCCTTTGCGATCGCAATTGACAATGGGCCTCGACCTTGAAAATCGCAAATATAGGACAGCCGTGGGTGATGTTCCAGCATGAGGTTAACTGCTTGTGGGTAGCTCATCTAAATGGCGAGCAGAAGCGTGCTCATCCCACGGTACTCGAAGTTGGGATTTGCCTGATGAAGATCCAACAAAAAGCGCGCAATGTCTAGTCGTCTTGCGAGTATGGCTCGATGAAGGGGTGGCATCTCATCGTGGGCCAGACAATCAAGGAGATATTTGGTGCAAGTTTGCACATTTGCCCAGCAGCAGCAAATGGTCAATTGAACGATTTCTTTCCCATCGAGGCTTCTGCAGATCCAAAGTAAAAATTAATTTGGCAGTCAGTCCAGCATGTTTCGTATTTAGCACAAAAACGCAAATATGCCGAGGGAAGAAAGGTGGATCATTCAGGGTCTCAAGTTGTTCAAGTAGACATTACTGTAGACCAGATATGGAAGATGTGTTCCAAATAACCAAGAGCCTGAGAATGAATCGAGAATGAGATCATTATTGAATGTCTTGGGAAAGTATATGCCGGTCCTGGGAGCCGCCTTGTCCCTGGGATCCCGGTCACTACTCCCGGAGCCACGGTTCTGAATACTGGAGGTTTCTATAGTCTGCCTGGGAACTGAAGCGCAATTTACAGCAGCAAGATTGCATCGTCAAGCATCCACTCTTTCGCTTTAGTGATACTTAAAGCTCTTCATATCCCCTAATTGATTGGCCCTTGCAATGCTAAATCGCCCAAAAATACGCTGCATTAGTTTCATTACTTTGCATCAAACTTCACGCATCGCCTTGGAAAGAAACAGCACCTCATAACCTCTTTGCATATACTTTCACAAAGTCAACAGCTTGAGGGTTGAGGCAATGGTATGAGCAATCGATGCTTTGTAATGGAATTGAATGCTGAATATACTCTACAGGTTTCCATTATCGATTTTCCAACGGAGATCCTTTGGATCATAGCCAGCACCTTATCGGGCGGCCAAATTTCTGCTTTTGCTCAGACCCACCGAAACTCTATCCCAAGCTGCTTCTGGCGCTAATAAAGTACAATATCAAGCACCAAAACAGCTCGGCGCTTCATTGGGCTGCTAAGACCAATGATTGTGCATTTGCAAAGGCGTTAATCTCTTACCGAGCCGACGTAAATGCACTAGTTGACGATTCATCCCCTCTCATGACAGCCGCAGATCACGGCTCGGAGCTGGTGATCAAAGTGTTACTGCAGAAGAAAAGGTTGCGCGTGAACTTGAGAAATACCAAGGGAGAGAGTGCTCTGTGGCACAGTGTGGCGACAACATCATCCGTCGTCGTCACCCAGCTCCTTCAACACCCTCCGCTCAAAGTCGACCTCCCAAATTCTGAGGGGCAGACGGTGCTCTGGCTTGCTGTCTTTCAAGGTAACAGAGACTTTGTGTGCCAACTACTCATAAGAGGTGCCAACCCTGATACAAAAGATCTGAATGGAATATCACCATGGATCCAAGCATGCATCAGAAACAGAAACAATATCAAAGATCTCCTCCTTGATCATTGGAAAGCGACATCCCCTGGCGTCATATCACAGGATATACCGCTCACTAGAAGTGAGGAAACGGTTGCGCCAGCTGCTAGTAGCGGAGGTGCTTCCATATCAAGAATGCTGCGCCTCCGGGGAGAGGAATTCGATATAGTTGATGAACAGGGACTGACACCTCTCCACGCAGCGGCAAGGAGTGGTCATCTTTGGGCAGTGGATTTTCTACTTCGCCACGCAAATACTCTCTTGAACCGTAAAGACAGTCACGGTAGGACTGCGCTGTGGTGGTCTACCTTTTCATTCCATGATCGTGTCACGCAGAGGCTTCTGGAAGAGAAGGACGTGGAGATCAATACGCTTGGAACATGTGGGAAATATGATAGCCCTTCTACCTCGCTCCACCATCTAGCCAGAAGAAGTGATACAACCGTTCTTGGATGGTTCTTAAGCCGGCCGAGCCTTGACCCAAATCTATGCGGGGGCTCTTAATCTCCTCTTTGTCTGGCTATACAACAAGGGAATACCGCAGTGGTGAGATTACTCCTCACTCACAAAAAGACAAAACTTAACGCCATGGAAATGCCCCATAATTCGCCGCTTCTTTTGGCAACCCAGGAGGGCCACCGTGATATGGTTGAATTGCTGGTCCGGCAAGGTGATCGGCTGCAGATCAACCAGTTGAACAGTCCTGATAAGGAGACGGCACTTTGTGTAGCCATTCGTCACGGAAGACTTGATATCCTAGATATTTTGCTTGGGCATCCTCGAATCAATATTGATACGATCAATGGTTGGGGTGAGACGGCCCTGTTGTTAGCGGTCAAGCGAGAAGATACCGCAATGGTCAGCAGATTACTCTAGGGCCCGAACTTGCCTTGTATTTTGGCAATGCCAGCCGAAGTTGCTCAATCCCGTAAAAATCGTGATATGAGCCGTCTCATCCAAGAGGCGATGAAGTAAAAGAGCAACAGAGACTACTCGTCAAGGGAGAGACAACGTCAGATACGAAAAAGTTGTGTAAATTTCAGCTTCGTTTAACAATCTCTTTGTTCTAACATACCACATTGGCTATGCTTTTTACATTTGCTTTGTTGATCACCAGCCCTAGAAGAAGATCTTGTATGAGGCCGAGGTACTGTATCGTATCACCCATCTGGAATTGTATAATTGGAGACTGGGATGTTGTATTCCCTCTCGTGTTATTAGGTTTCTTGGGGATATACAGTACCATCGCTGCAAATAGTGTCAATATATCTTGACCCAAGCTGTCAGTGGGTGGGAATAAGAAAGGGATACGTCCTACGTCCGATCTTTTTTCGAGCACAAAATTGCGACCGTATCCGTGCTGGGGTCTCATTCAAGACCAGCATGACTCACTCATAGCGGTAACACAGCAACATACGTGAGCGTCCGTCAACATACAAAGTATTATGGCAGCACTTGTTATATCTCAGATGTAGAGCATGATGAACGAACATCCTAGCACTATGATGCACAAAATTCTGAGTGTAATTCGGATTAGTGCTGATATTTCGAAGTTGACAGCGAAAATGAGATTTTTGCCCACCATCACATGCCGGTTCTAATAGGCACAGCCAGATCGTCGAAAATCCATGTGGAACCACGCTGGCCGGCTCTGAAGGTGATCCACCAGCTGGAACTGGTGTATGCCGAGCCTATCTAGTATGCAGACGGAAGTTGCCTTATTCGTAATCAGCATTCTTGATTATGGATTCAAAATAGTCTACAGTACGGTTTGCCACGACAGTTCTCTGAGAATGGTTGCGGCGGACAGACCAGAACGGCATTGGGTCGTATGGAAGGCACACGTGCAAGATATACCTACCATGTGAGTCAATTCTTTTCCCAACGAACTCGTCAATGGAAAAAGTTAAGATGACCAACATCACTTCTAGGTTTGGATTTCAAGGGCCTCATATCCTCCATCCCTATCTAACCTCTCACTCTCGCTACGCCGAATGAATTTGTGTGTTCAAAGGATCCCGCGAGTTTGGAGATATTCTTTCTAGATATTTTTTATTGGGGGAAAGATCATACGAGAGGGTTTCTGGCGCTAGAATGAATGTATCATGAGCCAAGGCCTCAGGGGGGCTCCGGTCAGCACGCCGTCCATCCACCCTTGACCTTTTCTGCTACGTCCCCGCCACACATTCATTGTTCATGGAAGGGGCTAACACGGCAAGAGCAAATTAAATGGGAACGAAGTCGAACAACACTCTAGATACGACATATCGAGATCAATCCAAGTGTTCTAAAGATTGGGGTTGAGCGACAAGGCCAGGGATTCCAATGAGCAACTGAGGTTGCGCGTGGTAGATATGCATCGCGCGTTGATGTGTCAACTCGCCATGCTTGCCCCACTGACCACCGCTGTTGACGCGTCGATATATGAAGTCAGCCTTCATGAATGCGATATTTCTTCTCATCGTCGCAAAATACGGGCATTTCATCTGCATAAATGCCACTTATTTGGTATCGAATCACTTTTCCGAACTGCGGCCTCGCCCGGATTTGATTCATTGCCCAAGCGCCCTCGAGCCGGGGGCGGGGTCCCCCCAGAGACCCCTTTCAGGGGGGTCGGCGAGGCAATTTCCAATTGCCGGGGGTGCCTCCCATAGGCGACGGGCAAGATCAACCCACTATCGTCGTCTTGAGACTTTCTCCAATCCTCTTGTCCGGGAAATTCGACAAGAGTCAATTATTCAGATCTCAGGTCTACATGGGAAGGCCTTCTCCAATGGTAATTTCGAGAAATGAAAATTCAGTGTTTAGACGTGTCATGGCGACGTCCAATGTTTCCGTCCGAGCCGCGCGTGTTATCGTAATGAAAGGTCCCATGCTAAGCCTACGGGCTCTATGATTCTAAGGCTCTGTTTGGAATCAACCTCGTTCTATGGTGCCAAGTCTCCACTTTGAAAGATTTGGAACGATGTTGTGAGGAGAGATTCATTGGATCAGAACCTGGAGGTTGATTCTTGAAAGGCACCCATTCCCAAATCACCCATGGGAATATCAGGCCCTAACTGGGTAGAACGTGTCCATAGTTGTCCGCTCCCTTCGGTCGCTCCCAATGTGCCCGCGCGAACCATTCTAGACTTTCCCTCCGAGGGTTGTGGCATTTGGTTCGGGCGGGCCTTCGGTATACGGGGCCACCCTACGGGTGTCGGCCCTCTCCGGCCCTAGGCGGGAGTTGACTGTGGAAGCCGGGTCAACCTGTTGTGATTCCAGGTTGGTGCAGAACAGGAACGGAGCCGCACCATCGGAGTTAATCCCGATGTATCTATACGAAGAGCCAAGTTGATTGGAGAATGTTCCATTTTAACCTTAGGAAAGGGCAGGTAATTTCCCCAATCATCACTTGTTGAGACATATTATGCACTGAGAGCCGTCTGGCCACAAGGACATCTCGCAAACACGCCAGAATGGGACTAAATATCTGGCAATAGGTCCCTCTGTAGACCCGCCTGGGAAAATCATGCTTTCCTCATAGTAGAATCACCCGCCATGAGTAGAAAGGCGACCTTCTTGCCTGGCCTCTCCTCCGATCGATATTTGCCGCAGTGAAACCACCACCGAGGTCATTTTGGAGCATAGTAAACAAATAATAGTTGACTGATACAGGCAATCAGCATGGTCAGATAGCATCCGTTAGAGAAGTCTCTAGTGCCAATGACTTCAAGCTTTGAGGTCGCGTTCAATGCCATTCATTGACGCAACCTCAGAATATCCCACGAGAGCCCACACGGCAGTGTTCGTGCCAGCGATTATGATTCGCGATAGTGGATGTGTATCTGGTAGAGCCTAATTCCTCTTGTCCCTCGACGATGAGCGAGTAGCTTCATTCAAATACCACACCACCAAAGCCCTATCAGGGCGAGCTGTGATTGGGAGCTACTCCGATTCAAGTCGGACTAGTTGGCCTTTAGCTTCGGGGACGCGGTGAGCGCCCACAAGGCTATGCTGCCGTAATATGCCCCTGTAATGTATGGAAGCCCCCTCATGAAGTCAAATTTTCGGTTGACCTTGCTGCTTATCTCACTGTTGAACGTCGCATCCCTGTCAACGCAGCGCTCTCAAGATTGGTTGCAAGTCTGATTGCACAATTAGCTTGGGTGTGTAAAGCCCAATTTACCATCCATAGAGCACTATTCGGACCATTGGAGCTCCCTGCTGGCCTCCTTTCTATTTGTCTGACACGGTTTCCCGCTCACAGACGGTTGGATTGTCAAGAGCGTGAGCTGGTGTAGCCCCAGCGAGAAGAGAATATAAAGAAGAATCAGCCGTTGGAAAAGCGCAAAGTAGAACGATCCAATTTTCGTGGACATTCAACGCTCATGTATCGATGCTCACTTGTGAGATGAACCCATCGCGAAGAAACCCAGCGGAGAAGTGTTTGGGAAATGACGTCACGCGAAGTTAGCTGCGGCAAGTAGTCAGCCGCGCGTCGGACCATTTAAGAACAGCGACCCAAGTCTGCTTCCGTCGACGTATGCCGTCTTGAACATTCACAAGGCACTGGAAAGGTTGGCACTGTCTTTATGCTTGAAGTTGCTTCATAAGTCGGCCCATCAGAAAGCCCACACAGCCACGTGGACACGATATCGTGATTTGATGCTGGTGCTGGAACGGAGCCGCATCATTGGAATTGGCTCCTCAGATCTCCATATTGAGAGTCAAGTTTCAACCAGCTTTATCCTCTCGCATTATGCATTATCGGGTATCACCCCTTCAAACCGACGATCAATTATACCGCAGACGCATCATAAGTGGCCATGCCGACAGCGAGATGGCCACCACAGGCCTACAAGTAGTACGCTTGACTAGCTCTGCCTCTAGATAAATGTGAAGCCCACATTGAACAGGCTTAGCTCACAGCGTGCCAAGAGCACGTCTCTTCAGCATGTTCACAGATGCCGAGGCGGAAGACGGTGATGCAAAGTGGCCTTGTCTAATGGCAATGGAGATCCGCCATCAGAATGCATAATGCGGATCCAACAGCAGGTCTTGTCATAAACTGTTCATTTCGGTAGGTGTCGACTTGGGTGAGGTGAGACCGGAGGCCACGTTAGCCGTCCACTGTTAACCTCCAGAGCCTGACTGCAGCAGGCCTCGCGTCCAATGCCGCTCAACACCAAGCTGTTGATTAGAGATGACGGCATTATCAATGAGCGCGGGCTAGGTAATAAATCTTTCGATCGACGTGAGAGGTCTGCTGGAACGATAGTCAGCCATACGAATGTAAATGCGGGGAGCGGACGCGATAAAAAGCCACCTGCTGGGTAATGTGGGCAATGCGCTTCTTATAGTAGACTCGTAGTGCGATGGGGGCTTAGTGTTCAGAGCAGGCGTCGAAGGGTATGTTCAGCTGATACGCGCATGGAGTGGGTGTGTGGGGAGCGCGTCGGTAACCAGTCGCACTATAGGCAATATTAGCATCCAGAGAGGAGGAATAAGGATAGGTCAGCATGAGTGGGGATACTCTTGTCAATGCCGAATTTAGCTGATACATATGAAACAGACGTGAGTGCAACCCTTGCCAGCGAAGAAGTCGTTCAACATGGCTGCATAACTAGACGCAGTCCTCGGAGCTCTGAAATGACCGATAATCCGTAGCTTGAGATATGAAGGTTAGTTTCCGTGACTGCGGGGTCTATGCCCATTGAGTGTACGGAGCTCGATTGTGTCAGCTGAAAGCTCTCCCAATATACATAAAAAAGGTCGATGGGTTAGAGCTGACAGTGAGTTTGCTTGGCGAAACTGGCCAACCCATTCTGTGCTGAAGCCAATAGGGTTGATGAGGGGATAGTTTCATCATTCAATAGCGTGGACCGCATAAATAC